ATGAATATTATAATAGAAGGTAAGATAGAAGGAAGGAGGGGGAGAGGGAGACCGAGACATAGTTACATCAGGCAGATCAAGGAAGGAGTTGGTGTCGTGTCGTATCAAGAGGTGAAGAGACTCGCTGAAAATCTTAGTGGCAAGAGCTCCACCGACAAGAGCACAGCTCTTAAATAGGATAGATAGATAGATATCTAGATTGTGGAATGAGCTCCAGTCTTCAGTTTTCCCTTTACAATATAATATGAGAAATTTTTGAAAACTTACCTACAAACATTTAAAAGGATGTTCATGGGTGACGGTAGCCGCTTTCCATCAAGTGGACCGTCTGCTCGTTTGCTTCCCTAACCATAAAATATATATATATATATATATATATATATATATATATATATATATATATATATAAACATGCATTCAGCTACTTTATTGTATACTTATATATTGTATACTTCCTATTTATGCCTAGGAAATATAAAGTGCTAAGGTAGCCAACAATTTTTCAAAAGTTCTTAAAGTTTAGTTTTCTTTAAAAAAAAACTTCAGTTATAATAAAAAGTGATATAAACGTCAAAGCAATATGGATAGATAGACACGCGATTTGTGTTCTAAATTCGATATTTTCAAATATTGTGTGTATGCTCACGATTAAAGTAAAATTTTTGGCGGAAGAAAAAGTGCATAATGCCATGGGGAAAATAAAAAAAAAAAAACATTAATAAAGACAATATCAGATGATGTTGTTCCGTTATTTTACTTACAAGTACCGACCCTATTGTGGCTTGGATTTGAAAAGATCCATATCTGGTATGCTATAATATCTCTTAGGTAATAAATTCACGTTCGCTTCTGTAACGTTTCCAATGTTATTAAATGAATCTATTTTGTACTATTTTTAACCGACTTCAAAAAGAAGGAGGTTCTTAATTCGGTTGAATTTTTTAAATGTTTGTTAACTCGTAACTCCGTCAGTTGTAAATCTATTTGGAAATTTATTTTTTTATATGGTAAAATAAATATATTTACAGATTGATTCTATAGAAATTTTATTAAAATCTGTTTATTAGTTCAGTTTTCAAACTAAAATAACTGGTTTTGCTACATTTAAAGTTGGGTTTTTTGTCATCAGGAAAATGTATCTCGTATTGTGCAAATTACAATTTGAGTTCGAATAATATAAAGTTCGTGTAAATATGAATATGCGACCAACAAGGGAGTACCAACCCCTAACAATTGCAAAAATCAATACCAAATTCTGTATTGGCGAATGTATGTCTCATAACATATATATAAAAAAAAAAAAAATTGCGAATTAAGTAATAGAGACTCTCTTGATTTTTAAAGTAAAATTTTTACGTCAGAAAACTTGAGGTTTCATAAAAAATGTGAAGGTTTACCCGCGAATTATATACAATATTTATTTTATCGCTATGTAATCTTTGTTAGTAGTAGTATACAAATAAATAGTATAGTGAAACGGAAAGAATGTATAAGTGGGGGTCGTACGTGGGTAAGCCATCGTAAACATTGCAAGTTGACAGGGTAGCGGAGCAATGTAGCGAAGGAATGGTAATATGCCTAAAATAAGCTCTCCACAAAAATATGCTAATAACACTGAACGACACGTGTATTGATCTATGCTTTAGTAAAATAAATTCATTAAATTTTAATAAAAAAAAAAAAAAAAACTTTAGTATTTTTGTCTATGTGCATAGTAAAGCGTGAATTTGAAATCACTACGAAAATTTGGTATAGTAAATGTTTTAACATTTTTTCGGTTCATAATCAAAAACGTTTAGTGTTGACTAGTAGAGAAAGGATTACCATCCTAGTATAGATAATAAGCACCTTTAAAAGGATATTAACTGAGTTACCATTTTCTATTACTATAGCACACGCATGAAGGAAAGGAAAGAAAGGAAATTGTTGGTTTATATATTTTGCTTTTTGGTTTTTTTTTTTTTGTTTTATTGCTTTTTTATTTTCATTCTTTTATCTCTTTTACTGTGTATTATGTGTACGTTTTTATTGTAATTTGTGTGCTGTAAGTAATGTAAATAAATTATCTATCTATCTATCTAATGATCTCTATTTTATGCGAACGTGTAACCACCCATTTGTTTGTTTTAATTGTACAATCCAAGTCAGGATATAATTCCGATAAGGAATCGTTTCGTTATTGGAAACGCATTAATATCACCATACCAACCGTCGCCAAGGCAGCTCGCTATGCGCCAATCGACATAAAAGCAACCATAAAAACAACTAGGAACATTCCGCGCATGGCACTCGGAGCACGTGGCCTCGGCTCTAGACTAGACAAATCCATTGTGGAAATAAGTGTACAGACGAATGAAAATGTAATTACAAATAACATACTTCCAATTGTTGCGGGTGCATCCGGGAAAACGTATGGAACAAGTGTTACTTTTCACGAATCATGGAAGTCGCATGCAAGGTTTCAATAATATACATTTTTTAGATTAGTGCGAATAATTTGAGCAGCTTTTAGGTCGATGTAGCGCTTTTTTATCAAGTTAGATTAAGTTCTAGTCTTCAAACCTCAATGGAGCAGTCTTCAAACCGCATATTTACGTATGCAGTGTAAACTTAGCTTAATCTTAATGTATAATCGTAAGGTCAACGTCACGATGTTCTTTTACGCTAATCTCCAAAACGGTTCAATTGATTTTAATGAACATTTTAAATGGTATATTTTAATTAATAATTTCATTTTATTGTGGTAAGAAAACATTCCGGTAGATGACGGGTAGGGGGGCAAAACAATTGCAGTGTCAACTAGTGTGTTATAAGCGGAACACAGCATTTGTATTAGCGCTATTGGGCAAAAACATTGGGGGTAAAATTTGTATAGATATTTCTATTAAAAGAACAATCACAAGAATCAAGCAATCGTTCGAAGTATAAATTTTATATAAACCGTTCTCCGCTACGAAATTGGAATTGCAAATACAAAATATGAGTTTTAAAGTTCATTTAAACTTTACGCATCGAACTACAAAGAAATAATTATATTGGGGTTGGCATAAGCTTTTGAATAGTCACGTGGTAATTGTGTATTTTCACTTGTCTTTTATCGACATGCCCAATAAGATTTACTTGTCGACCCTTGTTTGCCAGCACACGGTGAGGTCAGGACCGCCGTTGCAACGAGGGTCCGTCCGCCTTCTCTTTAAGGTAACTAGGACAGTATGGACCGTTTGTTCCAAGTTCGGGTGTTGTGATGTCACCACTTGTTGTTACATTATGATCTGAAAAAGGCGCCGCTCATGTAGGCGTCCGAATGCCAAATGTTCGCATTGATGGCATTAGCAAGTGCTACCATCTATTCACCAATCGATGCAACTACATTTCGATATTGGGCAACTTTTCTTTTAAGATAGGTCTATGAAAAGGCGTCAATTGTAGAAATGTCGGATTTATATTTCTTTGTTTAATTTCAGATTTCTTCGCTATTTTTCTTGAAAAAGAAATCTCACTGTATATAACTGTAATAGTTGATTTTATTCATACAATATTTTTATAATAAGATGTGGACGATTTTTATTTTCCCTTTGAATATTTAATAGGTATCTTTTAGATCAAGAGTAATATTACTCATTACAATAATTGTTCAAAAGGTTATTGTTATTTTATATTCCCTAGGATTCTTTGCGTATTATGTACAATGTGTTTAACAAATCGCATGTCGTATGTCTTTGTAAGCCATTGTCAACTTTGAAAAGCCGTCATACGTTATCTATCGATCGGAGCTCGCTTCAATACGCTTGACGTCATCATCTACATTTTTCATCAGATAGGGACAAAAGCGTTCTAATGTCATGGATCGACTATTATTACCAATTTTCTTTTTTCCAAGCAATTGTAATTAATTGACGAACGTCGTTTATCGTTTCAGCCACAGTTGAAGTTTTGCCGCTGTTTCACAACGTTGTATCGTGTGACGGTTAACAGTTTCCAATAGAAATTTTGTTATCTCCAAATGTTTTTTTTTTTTTTGTTATTGAAACAGTTCTTTGGAAGTTTGATTGTGATCTGATATAGTGGTGTTTATCTTTTGACCACAGATTTAGTTTCATCACGTTATTGGGTTAATTTATAAGTAATGATCGAGTTTTATATGCAATTTCACCTTCGCTCACGACCGTACTCGGTGCGCGTGCGTCACGGTTCATTGCCTTGAGTACGGAAAGAGATCCTAATATGGCGGTCGGCGCAGGCGCAGGATTGCCTTGCGCCAACGCAGATCGTGCAGCCATTTCGAATAATCCGTCTGTCAGAATAGTACATGTCATTTTACGTTAGATAGGATCAATACATCAGTGTGATAAGATGCGATAGACACTTTAATCCGAATGAAACTCCATACAAAAAGAAAATGTGGAGAACAATGTAAAATATCCGTAAAAGTAAACATAGAACAAACTTAGAGACTGAGGAATTGCCAAATATGTGTTGCTCATGGTTGAGATGTCGGAGACGTGTGGCAGATTCAGCTGAAGCCACCACTCCTATGGAAGCGTTCGAAACGCCAGAAACACCCACTGAAGATGTACAGGAAGAGGAGCATGAGCAAAAATCACGTAAGGCTGGCACCAACAACAGTAAATCTTGCACCGCGTTATGTAGGGTTTGTTTATTTTGGCTTCACGCACTCTTGTCGCATTTGCTTGCGCCGGATACCTTTTGTTTTAGCTTAAATGGATCTAGTCGTTTGCATTTAGACATTGCGTCACCCCTGTATGATTCACGAACATTGCAAATCATTCTAATATTGCGGCAATTCAATTTCTATTGTATAACCGGTCGATCAAATTGAATATTTTATAACAAAACTTTATGTAACTACAGCAGATTATAGACAAGCGAAAATAGATTACTTCAAATACGATGTTATATGTTTTGTTTAGTTTAGCATTGCTTTATAGTAAATATTTCAATTGATGACGATCTACAGGTTTTGTTTAATAATATTGCAGCGCCATCTCGCGTCACCCGCAACAATCAGATGCGGTTGTCGAACGCAGGCGGCGCGTACACCAATGGCCATGGCGGGGACACGACGGGGCGGCGGGGGACGGAGAACGTACCACCACCGCAGCAGCCGCCGCAGCAACCGCCGCCGAACTCCAGGGTCACACAACAGGTGGGTGATCGGGGATATATTTAAACTGTCTATGAACTATTTGGTATGCTATCAGTAGGGTAGGTATCAAATCGGCGTGTCAACGGAATTGGTCTTTTTGAAATGATAATGGAATGGTAACCAGGCCTACGCTATCACGATGATTTTTGGGGTTTGAGATAGCGTAGAGATCGATCTGACTGCCTTTATTGGCCTTTCTGCTTACATTGGCCATTTTCTAGAAGTCTTTCCAAAAAAAAATTGCAATGTCTATCAGCATAGTACAAACTTTTCATTTCAAAGGTATTTCCTCCCGCAAACACTCATGTTGTGGAATGAGGTCCCTGCCGAGGTTTTATCAAGAGACTACAGCATGGGGTTCTTCAAAAGGGGGGTAAAGAGGTTTCTTCAGGGTCGGCAACACACGCGTAATACCTCTGGTATTGCAGGTGTTTATAGGCTACGGTAACTACTTACCATCAGGTGGGCCGTATGCTTGTTTGCCACCTCAGTGGTATAAAAAAAAATTTAGACTTATTTGCAAGATTAGGGAGCATAATCTTGGTACCCCTTTTCCTGTACCTAATACCTTCCAGCCTCCAACGTCTGGAGGGCGCAGTCGAGCGGGCAGCACGCCCAGCGCTTCCTTCGTACCTCAAGGGTTACAGCAGCCGTGCATGACGCATTTGCAGCGGCGGACCCACAAGGAGGTTCCTTTGTCCTTTCCCTGCCCTTCCTCTTATCATACTATAAAAGATGTATCTAAGTTCAGCGTAATATTTAAACTTTACTAGAATATTTATACTTATACCATTCTAAGTTGTATAAAAAAAAATATGATTTGAATTTAGAAAATTTTACATGTTCCTTGAATATTATCGTTGGTTTCGAGTTATTATAATTTGTATAATGATAATAGAATATATGTAGTTACCTGTATAGATCTTGATTAGATGCCACATAGTTTTATTTGTTTATTTTTACTAGAGTGGTTCTTGAACTTTTTTCACGCGGTGAAAGGAGTTTAGAGAATATTATATAGTGTATAAAATAGGAATTTTTTATTCAAATTTATACCAGAGGGAGACTTTGTACAAAAGTCGATTGCTTGGGTACCTCTGTCCCATTCGTGTTTCAACCGTGAAGCAGTTGTGTTTGCATGGCTGTGTTTCGGTTTGAAGGGTAGGACAAGGCGTGAATTTACTGGGTAAAGAGGAATATCACCTGAGTCCTCAGGAATGGCAACGCATGGGGGGTATCATGGGCGAAACAGTATAGTCTGTTATGTCCATGGTACTGCTCATGTCTATAGGCGACGGTTACTACTTTCCATCAGGTGGACCGTCAGCTTGTTTGGCATTCTAAGTTGTATAAAAAAAAATCAAGTATTTTTTAAAAGTTTTTTTTTTATATATTTACTGCCCGAGCTCAAGCTTGCTTAGTCGACAGTATATCAAAGTTTATCAGAAATTTGAAAAAGCTAAAGAAATTGATTTAGCAATTTTATTTATAAAAGTTTCCTTAATGCATATATTATATTTTAATGTAAGAACAATTAGATTGAATTATGTGTATTTTAGTCTACAATATTTGTTTAGTTTCGGCATCATCCGGGACCTTTCGTCATGAGTGGTCACAACGCCACCGCTAGTTGAAAGTTGTCGAGCGTTCTCGACTAAACCACACGTTAGTCATTCCGGTTATTTCTTACATTATAATATGATTTAGCGTTTATCAGATTCGCAGTCCATAGTCAGGTTGTTAATATGTGACAGAAATCGATCACGACCGAGTGGATACGTCTTTTTTTTTATACAACTTAGAATGGCAAACAAGCTGACGGGCCATCTGATGGAAAGTGGTAACTGTTACCTATAGACGTGAGCAGTACCATGGACATAACAGAGTATACTGTTTCGCCCATGATACCCCCCGTGCGTTGCCATTTCTGAGGACTCAGATGTTATTCCTCTGTACCCTGTAAATTCACGCCATATCCCACTCTTCAAACCGAAACACAGCCATGCAAACACAACTGCTTCACGGTAGAAACACGAATGGGACAGAGGTACACAAGCAATCGACTTTTGTACAGTCTCCCTCTTCACAATTCGAGTTATTTATTCTCATGAAACACTTGATTACATATATATTTATAAACTTCATAGAACTTATTGAAATTGTTATTATCGATTTTCAATCGCTATTCAAAATATAGTTAATATATTTAAAAGCAATTTGTGGTTGCAGTTGAGTCCACAGTAATAATGTACTTTTGTGCAACATATTGAATATAACAATTTACAATGTAACAACAAGTATTATAATTGTCCATTTATTTGTACTTTTGTATCTGGTATCTACTTGTTAGTTTCATATGTATAGTCTAGATTCTTTTCCATTCATTGTTTGTTAGTAAAACGTCGCTTATTTATTTAAATTATGTCATATTTTAATGTAACTGTAATATTTTAGAAAGGATTGCAAAATGTTGCCTGATAATCAATACCAGCTTTTCCCATAACGCCCCCTTGAAGGCGCTGCAGGCCTAAAGAGGGTACGGTAAGAGACCCAGAAAAAAACTTTTAATTTACACAATAATTGATTAATTTAATTTGAAGTAATAGTGGTTTTTAAGTAGGTGAAGGTGAGGTTTGGGAACCCCTGATCTATAGTTTTGATGGGTGAAAATGAAAATAGGCCAGTTAGCCCATCATGATGAATTGAACAGGAATTAACCATGATAGTTTCCAGGGGGAACCGCGAGAGGTCGACCTGGTTGGGTATATTGCTAGCAATGAGATTCTCAGTCTCCATTACTAACAATCCCTTTCCCCTCGGAAGGGTACATATTGGTAGCAAGTGGTTGAACTGTCATTAACGTGTTCCAGTTCAACCCGCCAGCGACGGTTGGCGGCGTGAACGCGCGCGGCGCGGCGGCCGTTTCGAGTACTGTGTCGGTGCCTCATGCAGTCGCCTCGGGCGCCGTGCGCCGCTCCAACGTCGTCAAGGAGGTCGAGCGGCTCAAGGAGAACCGCGAGAAGCGGCGCCAGCGGCAGGCCGAGCTCAAGGAGGAGAAGGTATCAGACACGTCTTTGGAATCAACTTCCAGCAGCAATATTTCCGAACCGATACGATATCATAACCTTCAGAGAGCATATTCCTTTTTAAAAGGCCGGCAGCACACCTGCAATGCCTTTGGTGTTGCGGGTGATCATGGGCGGCGGTAGTCACTTACCATCAGGTGAGCCGCATGCTCGATTGCCCCCTGTGTTGTACAAAAAAAGAAAACGTCGGAATGAGTATTACTGTTCCATTCGTCTGCCGCTGAACAGTAGCCGAAGCGCTTGTCAGATTTAATGGTGGGAAATGGTGAAGTTGTAAGGTACTAAAATTGTAAATCCTGAGTAATAGAATAATTGGAATTATGGAACCTAGATTGCTCGCCATTTAAAGTTAAATAAACAATGTAACAATTTATATAAAAAAATGTTAACCCTAAGTTACTCGAATATACTTAAAGCACTAAACGGATTCATTCTAACTATCATATCATAGATGGAGCATCTCTCATAGTCCAATAAATAGAACTTACTTATTATACATGTAATAAAATTGTAATTGGTTGCTGTCTGTACATGGAAAATATATATAAAAAAAAGGAATATAAGGAGTCTTTATGAACGCAATAGAATTTAAAACAAAGATTTTAGAATTTTTCCCTGTCCGTATGTCTATTTGTCTGCAGATTTGTGCACGTTAATCTCTAAAACGGATTAACCCATTTGAATGCGGTTTTCTCTAATGCGCTGCGGTTTACTCCGCTTAACATTTAGTGTTTGTTTTATTTCAATCGGTTAATAAACGAAAAAGTTATACGAATGTATGGAATCATATTTAAAATGCTATAAAATAGCCGATCAGTTGAATTGGCTGAAACTGTTATTATATGTATAGATTTTTGAAAATTCTCTCTACTCATGCGAAGTCGGGTCGGATCGCTAGTCGTATTATTTAATGAAGATAATAAATATAAAGAGCAAGGACATAGGCTACAATTAGTATGTATCTTGCAGGAAGCACTTATGAACATGGACCCTGGCAACCCTAACTGGGAGTTCCTAGCAATGATCCGCGAGTACCAGAGCAGCATCGAGTTCCGGCCGCTGACCGGCAACGAGCCAGTAGAAGACCATCAAATAACCGTATGCGTGCGGAAGAGGCCGCTCAACAAGAAGGAAATAACCAAGAAGGAGGTATGCTACTTTATATGAACTAAGCTTGTAGGGCTAAATAATAAACCTTTATATATATAATAACGAGTAGGGATATATTATTATATGTATCACATCTCCCATATTTAGAACTAACAAAATTTTTCATCATGCCTCCCACCAAATTGTTTATAATTACTCCTCTCCATCCAAAGGTTGCCTGAAAGAGATCACTCTTAGCGATAAGGTCGACCGTTGTTTTCTCATTATGATTATTTCTTGTAATTATTTATATCTATAATAAGTTTACTATTGTAATCTTTTGGAGGAAACAATAAAGAGTATCTATCTATCTATCTATTTTTATTATCAAATACAGGGTTGCACTGTTACACATTTTTTGCCCTAGCTTACAAATTAGAGTAACATGTGCCTTGTAAGCCAGTTTCTTCCAACACACAAGGACTAATACTTTGTATTTGTATATGTAGAATTAACAATATTAAGCTACAAACATAATAAAGAAAAAAAAAGAAATAATGTTTAACTAGAAGATTACAGTTAATAAAAACTTTAAATCTGTAACGTTCAGTGTGTGGTGTGAGAGAAGGTGAACAGTGTATGTGTGTGTATGTTTAAAGTGAGAGGAAGAGTGGTATTAATGTGTATATAAATGTTGCCCATTATTGCCTCTTTGTCTTGCTTCTGGTAGTGCTCTTTTCGTTTAAACACTTGATCTAATTGTATCTTTTTTTGAGGCGAACAATAGTTTTTATTAATTCCTTCCCTTATTCATATCTCATTTTAATTTCTCAAGATCAAGCAATCGTGTTACATAATTAAATTAGTTACAATTTAAAAAAAAATCTTTTTCTATTGATGCAATTAAGAATGGAACCTATATTCTCATTTAAGTAAAACATTCCTCATAGCGGTCACTATTATATTGTATGAGTTATTTTGATATTGCTCCTAACAAAATTAGTTAAGAACCAATAGTTTGTATCTATGTTATTTTTATTATTTTTGTATGGTAACATTGGACACTTCTCCCAAAACCACAGTGTATATATTACATTAAAAGTTAAACTAATGCTTTTTATCCCTTCTTTGCATAATGGTGGAAATTTCCATCATAACATTGAATGCCCAAAAATTATATAAAATAACAAGTTCTCTTTAAGTTGATCGTGTCTGGATACCTTTTTAATGTAGATATAGCTGTCAAATTTATTTTTTTAACCATTTTTCCTTTAATTTTGAACATGAATTATATCACTTTGTTTTATTTTACCAATAAAAAAAATTATGAAAAGAATGTGTTTAGTTGATTTATCATCCTAATTAAGATCTTTCCAATTTTTTTTTTTATAAATTATCAGCATTAACAATTTTCACCAAATCATCATACACAATTATTTTATACCCACTTATTCTATCATCATAGGCGATGTGTGTTCCAGGTGGACGTCATCAGCGTGCCGACGAGGGACCAGATGATCGTGCACGAACCCAAGAACAAGGTGGACCTAACCAAATATCTGGAGAATCAGAAGTTTCGCTTCGACTATGCCTTTGATGACTCTTGCACCAATGAAGTTGTTTATAAGTAAGCTTTGATTTATTGTCTAACCACTGCTTTACGTCCAAGCATCATTTACGTTAAAGCATCAATGTATTTCTATACTATATTTTTTTTTTAATGGGTGATAATAGAATGGTAACTCCACCCGCGCTATCGGTATACACCGGTGGAGCACCAGTGAAGGATGAAGCAAGTCAGTTAGCCCATCGTAACGAATTCAACAAGAATTGTTCACGATGGTTTCCAGGGGGAACCACGTGGAGGTCGACCTAATAAGGCATATTGCTAGCAATGGGGCTGTCAAACCCTATTGCTAACAATCACTTTCCCCCCGTTTCTATACTATTTGTCTATGTGATTCGCTATAAAGACTGTCTAATTCATTAACAATTAATTCTACACACTACAAGCTGATCTGACTGTACTGTGCAGAACAAATTATCTTTCTTTGTCTAAAAATCTTAATCAAACATCATTGCAACCCCTATACCAAGCTAGCATTTATCCATAGGGGGAGGGGACGGATTGTTAGTAATGCGGACTACCAGTCCCGTTACTAGCAATATACCCTGTCAGGTCGACATCCACGTGGTCCCCCCTGGAAATACTAGGACTACCTTTTTATTTTCACCTATCATCCCTCACTGGTGCCCTGTCAGCGTATACCGTTAGCGCAGGCGGGGTTATCATTCCATTATCATCTATTAGAAAAAACAAAGCACTTATCCACAGTCTGTAATACGTAGTACAGGTTTCTTTGAAGTGAAAATGAAATGGTAACCCCGCTTGTGCTATCAGTATACGCTGGCTGGGCACCAGTGATAGATGATAGGTGAGGACGAAGACAACTCAATCACCCATCGTGAAGAATTCGACAAGAATTAACAGTGGTTTCCAGATGGAACGGCGTGCAGGTCACCTTAATAGGGTATATTGCTAACAACGGGGCTGTTAGAACCCATTACTAATAATCCTTTTCCCCATGTACATGTATGGTTTTGCAGGTACACGGCCAAGCCGCTGGTGCAGACGATATTCGAGGGCGGCATGGCGACATGTTTCGCGTACGGGCAGACGGGCTCGGGGAAAACGCACACCATGGGTGGAGATTTCCAGGTTATTGATTATAAGTTATTATTCTTTTTTTTTTTATACAACTTAGAATGGCAAACAGACTGTCGGCCCACCTGATGGAAAGTGGTAACTGTCGCCTATGAGACATGAGCAGTACCATGGACATAACAGAGTGTACGGTTTCACCCATGATACCCCCCATGCGTTGCCATTCCTGAGGACTCAGGTGTTATTCCTCTGTAGGCACCCTGTAAAATCACTGCCATTTATTTATTCCCAATTGAATTTCTAAATTACTTTGTAAAGTTATTTGAAAAGAGTAATTATTGATTTGAGGTTATTAGGTAGATAACTATGTTCCGAAACTAATGGTGACCTTATAAATAAAAACTGTTATTTTTTTTTATACAACTTAGAATGGCAAACAAGCTAACGGCCCACCTGATGGAAAGTGGTAACCGTCGCCTATGGACATGAGCAGTACCATGGATATAACAGAGTATACGGTTTCGCCCATGATACCCCCATGTGTTGCCATTCCTGAGGACTCGGGTGTTATTCCTCTGTACCCTGTAAATTCACGCCATATCCCATCCTTCAGACCGAAACACAGCTATGCAAACACAACTGCTTCACGGTTGAAACACGAATGGGACAGAGGTACCTAAGCAATCGACTTTTGTACAAAATCTCCCTCTGGTAAATTTTGTTTTAAGTAATAATAAATCTTAAAGACAGTTTGGTCACCTTTTAATGATAAACCAACTTTTAACAAATTATACATCATTAGGTAAACTATAGTATGAACTGTATGACCATCTTGAAAGTAAGAAAGTGAACAAATTATACAGTTTCTAGAAATGTTACATAGAAAACATTTTCTGATGTGTACTGCAGGGTAAGACCCAAGATTGCAAGAAGGGCATATATGCGATGGCGGCACGAGATGTGTTCGCGTACCTCAAGTCACCCAAATACAAGCCGCTCAACCTCATCGTCTCAGCATCATTCTTCGAGATATACTCCGGAAAGGTAAACACTTTTATCATTGAAAAATCATAGCTTCCAAATAATTGTATAAAAACTAGCGCCCTTATTAATAAATATGTTAAACCTCTTATAAACCTATTTCAGCTATTCTTTTGTCTTATACACTAATTTCTTAATTTGAAAAACAGTGATGAGACTCTAATAATAAAATAGGTTTGTAGGATATTTTATTTTTTTATGAATGTTGGTAATAGAATTATCAATATAGAACTTTATCTGGTTCAAAGGATCAGAATTTTTACTGGCATTAATGCTCATTGTTGTTATGAAAGTCAACTACAACATTCTTAAGCTACGAGTACTAAAATAGTAATTCGGTTTGCAGGTGTTTGATCTACTAGCAGATAAGGCGAAACTGCGCGTTCTAGAGGACGGCAAACAGCAAGTTCAAATCGTAGGACTCACGGAGAAGGTGGTTGACAACGTTGACGAAGTTCTCAAGCTTATACACCACGGAAACGCAGCTAGGACTTCCGGACAGGTAAGCTTCTTTATATTGTTGACTTTTTTCCGGCTCGATGGACCATTGTTAATGTCAACCATTCACATATTATTTAGTTGCTTCAATGGATGACTAATTGATTATTTTAGTTATGAAATAACATCTGATCCTGATATGGCTCATACATGTCAATTATAAGCTACAGAAAGAGTTTTGAATCCATTAGAATCTTTTATTGGTCTACTTGTTTTTTTTTTAACAATTTTTCAGGCTTTCTTTCGACACCCTCCCGTACGTCTATAGGCTCCTTCCTACTCGTGACGCTATCATGTAATAACGATATTGTTGCAGACGTCTGCGAACTCGAACTCGTCGCGGTCGCACGCGGTGTTCCAGATCATCGTGCGGTCGCCGGGCATGCACCGCGTGCACGGCAAGTTCTCGCTCATCGACCTCGCGGGCAACGAGCGCGGCGCCGACACCTCCTCCGCCAACCGCCAGACGAGTACGCCACGCATTCTAATATACACTTCATATCAGTAACACTACGCTTCATTTTTTTATACAACTTAGAATGGCAAACAAGCTGTTGGCCCACCTGATGAAAAGTGGTAACCATCGCCTATAGACATGAGCAGTACCATGGACATAACAGAGTGTACTGTTTCACCCATGATACCCCCCATGTGTTGCCATTCCTGAGGACTCAGGTGTTATTCCTCTGTACCCAGTAAATTCACGCCATGTCCCACCCTTCAAACCGAAACAGCCATGCAAACACAACTGCCTCACGGTTGAAACAACTATGATAGACAATTGCTGTTTTCAGATAATGGGTAGGCTTATAATTATCTAAAATTTTATTTCCAAAGTGGTTTTAAAACCATGAAATATATATTGATATAATTGGATAAAAGGGAAAAATCTAAGAAACATATACATAGTTGTATAGTTTATATCTAATATACTTGAAGAGTGTAATCTGTTATTTTGGCATTTGTAGATTATGACGCTAGGATTAACCGACAAACCAGTAGGTATGAGGTTAATTTTTTTATTTAGAAAAGTATTATTTAAAATTTAAACTATTAGAGTTCTGTATTAGTTTACATTGGTTTTTTTTAATGGATGATAATGGAATGGTAATCCTGTTTGCGCTATCGGTATACGCTGGCGGGGCACCAGTGAGGGATGATAGGTTATAATGAAAGGGCAGGTCAGTTAGCTTATTATAACGCCTGTAATTCAGCACGATGGTTTCCAGGGGGGATCAAGTGGAGGTCGACCTGATAGGGTATATTGCTAGCAATGGGACTGGTAGTCTGCATTATTAACAATCCCTTTCCCCTCGTTTAGATGTTTTTTTTATGGGTGGAAATAGAATGGTAATCCCGCCCGCGCTAACGGGTTACGCCGGTGGAACATCAGTGAAGGGTGATCGATGAGAATGAAAACAAGCCAGTTAGCCCATCATGATGAATTCATCAGGAATGAACTATGATAGTTTCCAGGGGGAATCGCGAGGAGGTCGACCTGGTTAGGTATATTATTAGCAATGGGATTCTCAGTCTCCATTACTTTCCCCCCCGTTTAGATGGTGTTAGGCCATGTCAGTATAGTTTTCAATAAGGACGGCATGTTTCCAGGAATGGAGAGCGCGGAGATCAACAAGTCTCTGCTGGCGCTAAAGGAGTGCATCCGCGCGCTGGGCATGAAGGGCAACAATCACCTGCCGTTCCGCGTGTCGAAGCTGACGCAGGTGCTGCGCGACAGCTTCATCGGCGACAAGTCGCGCACCTGCATGATCGCCATGATCTCGCCCGCCATGTCCTCCTGCGAGCACTCGCTCAACACGCTGCGCTACGCCGACAGGTGCGCTTTACCGCTCGCTAGGGTTTTTTTTTATCTGTGGTAATGGTATGGTATCCCCGTTTGCGCTATCGGTATACACTGGCAGGGCACCAGTGATAGATGACTGATGAGGATGAAAGCAGGTCAGTTAGCCCATCCTGACGAATTCAACTAGAATTAGCCACGATGGTTGCCAGGGGGAACCACGTGGAGGTCGACCTGACATTGCTAGTAATGGAGTTATTTGACCCTTACACTAACAATCCTTTTTACCCAACTGCCCGCTAGGGTTGAACTCTAAACTTTACATAGCGAAGGTATATTAAACGAAAAACACCTTAAAATGTAGAAAGTGCTAAGGTTTGGTTTACATTGTTACCTTTTTGTTGAAATACTCTTTATAGCATTCCAACCACTTTCAATGGCGAATAATTGGTTATTTAGATCCCAATAAACATTATTTTCATTGACCTTTAAATAATACTGCCACAGAGTCGTAAATATTTGGTTGTTGTCAGAAAAAAAAACTTTTTATTTAACGAAGATCATTCCACTATATCGCAAGATATGATGAAATACAACGAAAAATACAATGAAAATGGTTATAAATTTATGTAACTTTTTTATTTTTTCATTTTATTTAATCACAACTAAAACGTACTTATTCGTGAATTTATATTGTATTTTGTTTTATTCTCCGTTTAACGAAAACTTTTTATAACTTATTAATATACTTGGTCCTTTAAATTTCGCTATGTAGAGTTTTCACTTTCACTTACCTTACATATGTAAGGAGTTACTGTGAAGAGTTTTTTTTTGATGGGTGAAAATGGAAAATGGCCCACCAGATGGAAAGTGGTAACCGTCGCCTATGAGACATAAGGAGTACCATGGACATAACAGAGTATACTGTTTCGCTCATGATACCCCCCATGTATTGCCATTCCTGAGTTCTCAGATGTTATTCTGTAAGAAATTAGTTTTTTTTTAATGAAGTGCCATTGTGCATGTAAATGTGTACATGGTGGATGAGTGTCGATGAGCGTGACGGGCTGTACGTGGCGGCGGTTGCAGGGTGAAGGAGCTGGGCACGAGCGAGGGCCGCGCGCGCTGCGAGTCGCCGGCGGAGGCGGCCGACGTCGCCGACGTCGACATGGAGCCCGCGCCGCGCCACCGCGACCACCTCGCGCAGCTGCGCTCGCTCAACGTCAGTACCTGTGTACCAGCCCCGCCCTGCCCCGGCCCTGCCCCCGACCTGCCTCTGGCCCTGCCCCGGCCCTGCCCTCGACCTGCCTCTGGCTCTGCCCCCGACCTGCCCCTGACCCTGTTCCGGCCCTGCCCCCGACCTGCCCCTGGCCCCGGCCACGGTCTCTGCCCCCGATCTTCCCCTGGCCCCGGCCCCGGTCCCTGCCCCGACCTGCCCCTGGCCCCGGCCCCGGTCCCTGCCCCCGATCTGCCCCTGGCACCGGCCCCGGTCCCTGCTTCGGCCCCAGTCCCCCACCCCAATTCTGCCCCCGTCCCCAGTACCCCCCTCTGTGTCCCTGTCCCTATCTATACCCCTACCCCTGTCCCTACCTGTGCCCCTGCCCCTACCCTCTTTCTTCCCTGCCCCTGCCTCTACCTCCGACCTGACATCAATCCGTCATTAATTACAATCCCTTATGAAACAACTTCTCATTCGCTCGCGAGATTCTCGCTTGCTATGTAGTATGTCACTGGTATCGTACGCCAAAGGTCAATGACCCATACACAAATATTGTACGAAAAATTTTTGTAAAATTGTTTTAAATTTATTATACTAAATGTGTTCTAATTATTGTTGAGAAATTTTGGTTGTGATTATAGTGTTGCTATATTTATGTTGCTAAACAGCTGAGATAGTCATAACAACAACTGTACACACGCTAAAATAATAAATACTATAAAAAATAACCTAATTTTGATATTTTTAAGGTATATTTTAAATATACTGTCGAGATTTAATGCGATGAAAAATGTGTACTTTTTTATTGTTTTCATAAATGTGTGATCAGTAATGGCAATACAACCACATCCTTCATTTTGACCAGTTTTTAAACTTACACTCTATATTTAAAAATTCCAGACAAGCAATAAATTTTGTAATTTATTTTAGACAAATCCACCATTTTTGTAAGTGTATTTAAAAAATATGTTAATACTTAATCTTCTATACTTATAATAAATCTGTAGAGAGGTCAATTCTGTACATGAAATATATTTCCAAATTAACTATCAGGGGGTGATTAGTGATCGATACTGATGCCAAAAATGCAATCAGTAAAATTTTTGTCTGTCTGTCTGTATGTTCGTTATAGAAACAAAAACTATTAGACGGATTTTAACGAAACTTTCTACATTTATTCTTCATACTCCTGGGCAGGTTATAGTGTACTTTCCATCACGCTACGATCAATAGGAGCAGAGCAGTGAAGGGAAATGTTGGGAAAACGGGAGAAGTTACTCCATTTTTAAGTTTCCGTCGCGTGTGCAGCCTTAATAGCAACTTTTTAAAATGTAAAAATGTCCACCCGTGCGAAGCCGGGACGGGCCGCTAGATACTAATAATGATTTAGTTCTCTCGGCAAGCGTTCTCAGGAGAGGACTATCAAATTTATTTATAAACATGTAAATGTTAATGTATACTTAAATATTGTGTCAACCAGGAGGGTGACATGTCAGCGGAGATGTACACGTTCCACGAGGCGATCGACGAACTGCAGCGCGCCGAGGAGGAAGTGCTGGACAACCACAAGGCCATCTCCGACTACCTGCAGCACGCGCTGCAGCGCTGCAACCAGCTGCTCTGCATCACCAGGGACGTCGACTACGACCAGGACGGTAAGGCTAGCGCTACGCTGACGTGACATCACTGACAAACTATCGTGATAAATGAAAATGAATGATGACCCCTCTTGTTGGTTTACGCCAGTGGGGTATTAGTGAGGGTTTTGTTTGGGATGATGATGAAATGATAACGCCGCCTGCGCTGTCGGTATACGCTGGCGGTGCACCAGTGAGGGATGATAGATGAGAATGAAAAGGCAAGTTACTTAGCCGGGTATATTGCTAGTAATGGAGCTGGTAAATCCCCATTACTAGCAATCTCTTTCCCCCCTACTAGTGAGAGTTGTTGATAGGTGGTGATGAAGTCTGATCACTTGGTCCAATGTGAGGAATTGATCAGGAATTACCATAACAGTATACTCTGCTATGTCCATGGTACTACTGCCCATGTCTATAGGCGATGGTTACCACTTTCCATCAGGTGGACCGTCAGCTTCTTTGCCATTCTAGGTTGTACAAAAAAAAAAATATGATGTTTTTTAAAAGGAATGGCCTCGTGGGTGTTTTAATAATATGTACTGAAATAAAATTTAGTCGTTAGCAATTGAGTTGCTAGGTACTTAACACTTAACGTTCCGCTGCTGGACACGAGTCTCTCCATATCATCATCATCTTCTTTCTTTTGTGTTGTGGTCGTTACGTTAGTAACTTCTTACGATACCCTAGTTACTAAGTAGAGTGAGGACATGTATTCTTACTCAGTGTCAACATTCTGAGTTGAATTAAAAAAACTATGAAATGTCAATAATCACTGAGAAAATTGAACTACACTGAGTTTCTGTGTATTGGTCTACTAAGAATATAACGTATCATACTGCCAGTGTGTTGCATAATTATACTAATATATTAAGTCGCCTCTTAAGGCGATAAAGTATATTACCTTAATAAAGTATATAGTATAAAAGGAGGAAGTCTCGAGATAAAATTATGCCAAATCCAATTTTCTCATATATATATATATATATATATATATATATATATATATATATATATATATATATATATAAGCAAAAGCGGAGTTACTATTTCATTTTCACTTCAAAGAAACCTGTACTACGTATTACAGACTGGATAAGCTTTTTTTTTTCTAATAGATGATAATGGAATGGTAACCCCACTCGCGCTATCGGTATACACCGGCGGGACACCAGTGAGGGATGATAGATGAGGATGAAGTAGGTCAGTTAGCCCATCGTGACGAATTCAACAAGAATTGTTCACGATGGTTTCCAGGGGGAACCACGTGGAGGTCGACCTAATAGGGCATATTGCTAGCAATGGGGCTGTCAAACTCCATTGCTAACAATCACTTTCCCCTCTATTCTCGTATATTGTGCTCAGCAGTGTTTATTTTTGTCTGTCTGTGTGAACGCATCAGGGGTATTTATTTTGAACTGATTTTTCAAATGTTTGGATTGGAAATTATTTCTAATTTAAATTATTTAACCTCTTCACTATGTATGGAAAAATGAAATGTGCGTCCAAAATTGTTTCCAAGTACTATATGCATGTTGTGTTAGGTCGCGCAGTTTGCTGTATTGTTTTGTTTGCGCATGTTTATAAGTTACGCGAAATATGTATTTTAACATTGGAAAATCAAAATATATGCACATGTTACTTACTTTCCTTTCGCCGGTTGAGGGGTGGGATGTGACAGTGACTTAATATCTTGTTAGTTCCCGAGGAGTGGAACTCGTGAGTGATACCATGGGCGTTATAACGTATTCCGTGATATCTATGCTATTGCTACTTTCTGTACGATTTGTTTATCATTTCAAGATTTATGAAAAAGCATGTGAATTTTGATAATTAATACTACTAGAAGTCTCCGTCAAAACGACAAAAACGACTGACAATTGGGATAATTTTTTTTTTTGTGTTTTGCATTAATTTGACATAAACGAAACTGAATTTTATCGTTTATCATAGCAATCTCAACTTTTTTTATATTTTTCATATGGGTTTCGTTCTTAGAGTTAAGTCATCGTATGTTGTTCTTTATTTGAGGAAGACTTTGTACAAAAGTCGTTTGCTTGGGCACCTCTGTCCCATTTGTGTTTCTACCGTGAAGCAGTTGTGTTTCGGTTTGAAGGGTGGCATATGGCAGTGAATTTACAGGTTATAGAGGAATAATACCTGAGTCCTTAGGAATGGCAATGCATGGGGTGTATTATGGGCGAAACAGTGTACTCTATTATGTCCATGGTACGCAGTGAATTTACAGAATATAGAGGAATAACACCTGAGTCCCCAGGAATGGCAACACATAGGCGGTATCATGAGCGAAACAGTATATTATGTCCATGGTACTGCTCATGTTTATAGGTGACGGTTACCACTTTCCATCAGGTGGGCCGTCAGCTTGTTTGCTATTCAAAGTTGTATAAATGAAAAAAAATAGTATACTCAGATGATGGGATGTTGTTGTCTTATCTGACGGGGAGCTACCTAGTTAGTGTCAGCGGCGGAGGCAGTGCATAGTGCGCGGTGTTGCAGGCGCGGGCGGGCGGCGCTTCAAGCGGCCGCGGGGGGCCGCCCCCGCCGGCCGCCTGCGCACGCGCACCTTGCTAGGTTGGCAGCGCTCTCTCTCTCTGTCGCCTCGTGCGCTACTCGCTACACGCCTCTGGGTCGGACTCGCCCTCGATAGGCATAGTTTACAATTATAATGATTTAGGTTCACTAAAACATTTGTTAATTTTTGTTACTCTTAATTTACAAAATAATATTATCTTTAGTTTCGTCCAAAAAATCCACGTACACCGGTTTGTTTAACAGTATTTTTAAAGAGACCCTGGCCCCTTGGAACCTTCTAATGTAAGTTTTAAATGCTAGTTGCTAGAAAAAAAAGTTAAGAGACTTAAATTACTTAGTGCACTATATAGGCCATGATCCGGCCATGCTTCGATCAATAAATCGATTCCTTATTATCGTATTAATGTTTCATTATGTATATTCTAATCTATTGACTTAAAAAAAAAAAGAAAAAGGTTCTCAATTCGGCTGTATTTATATTCCTTATAACTCCGTCATTTATATTCATGTTTATTTTGTCAATTTAGAAATTTTTTTTTTCTTTATCTGTTATGACGTACTTTCGAATTGATTTTTTTTTAAATTGGATTTATCAATTTCGTTTTTTAACTCAAAATTACCGTTTTTGCCAAAACAGAAGTCGGTGTTTTTTTTTTCGTTAAATAAAATAAAATATATTAATTTTGATTATTTTCATTAACCTTCAAGAACCCTTGTTACTAGTCGAGGGTCCTCGGCTGTTCCGTCTAACTCCAGAGGCGTTTAACCGCGTTTAATATAACCCGTCATCGCGCACCATTCCGCATCGCTTTGATACGTTAACGCCAATGCTGTCACTCATGGGTGTGAATGTGCCTATTGGGATCATTTATCAAAATTTAATTAATATCTAAGATGTACCTCGAATTTGAGTTATATATCTATTTTATATATGCCTATATATATATGTGTAATGAAAATTTTATGAATTTACTATGTTTTGTTATTGTCGACAATTATTTCGATTTCATCCGGAACTCTTATATATCTTTTTTATTTATTCTTTTACACATATTAAAACATGTCTACAGGGTAGACTTAATGCCTTATAGCGTTCCCTATCAGTCAACAGTTACATTTAACAGAGAGAGAGTAAATGGCGGTTCTTTGATCTGACAAAATTAAAATGTAAAAAAAAAAAAAAATATTTGATAGATAATAACTTTTTAGACCTTAGAGTATTGAGGTTTGTGATGCGCTATTTTGTATATCTTTGATTGTATTTTCTGCTGAATGTATTTGTTATTAAAATCTTTAACAAACAATTTATTTAAACAGTAAAAACATAAAGATCTCTCAGTGAGACATTGTAAGAACTAAATTAGTTTAATTGTATAGTCTCAATCTTAAAAAAAAAAAAAAAAACTGTTACAGGTTGTCTGTAAGAGATTGCTTTTAGTGATAAGGCCGCCTTTTGTATATGCACATTCTGTATAAATACTCCTTGTGTACATCTCTACTGTGCGCAATAAAGAGTTTATTATTATCAATATTTCAATTTCAAATCCAATAGTTTAATCAAATAATACCAATTTGATATTTTTCCATAATTGCGTACACACAGACTGACGCAACAGTTTGGGATTGCTATATTACACAACGCCTGTATTAATTTTACTACTTTATAAAAAAATATTCTATAATAATATATTATTTCATTAAAACCTTCAGCATAATACATTATAATTTTAACAAGCTATTTGCAAAATGCAACTTATACCCATTAGATTTAATAGCCATCCTAAAAATCTTATCATGTAATCTCCATTTAATTATTTAAGCTTATCAATAAAACTCGAACTATTTACTAAACTTACCTAATCCTAATCAAGTACTTGTCTATAGTAGTATAAATATTTAACACCAAGAAATATCTCTTCCAGCTTACGCAACGCAGTGGGAGGAGCTACTTAACGAGCAGTTGGCAGTACTGGCCCAGTCGAGGGACCTCGTCGCCGAGTTCAGAGCTAAGATGCAACAGGAGGAACACATCTCGCGCCGCATACAGCCGCCGCGACATCACTAGCCGCCCACTGACCGGCACACACACGGCTGCCCATTCACGTACAGAAAGCGTTTGGCTCTACGGACTAGTATCCAGGGCCGTAAAACACTTTAAAAAAAAAAACAGAGCGTGCGTGCCGCCATGTAGCGTTGGTGTTTGCGAAACGATTGGACCTTTGTAAGTAGGTGATATTATTTAAATTAATTTGCAAATATTTTGAGTCGCGAATACAGGGGTTTTATGTTCAGTTTTGGCTATAAATATGTACAGATAAAATAGTGTATGTGATCTGTAATACTTTCGGAGGCGAAGGAAATGCGTTTTCGGTTCTCCTAATTTAGAATCTCGCTAGTTTGGGTTATTTGTAAAGTGATCTCTAAATCATGACAATTAGGATGGTATTTTGTATGTACGCATCGACGCTACGTGCGCGCACGCATCTGCGGACTCGGCTGACAATATGGCGGCGGAATGTCAGGTCACAACTTGAAAGTAAATCATTGTTTATTGTGTGTAAAAACTACATAATCAGTATTGAAATTTAAATGTTCATATTTTAATTGTGGAGTGAAAGTGTCGTAGCTGGCCTACTCTTGAATATACCTTTCAATAAATATGAATTACTCTGGAATTATTTGGATCGTTCCCCCAAGTTGTGACAGCGGTTTTTTTTTGTTACGAGAAAATATTTTGCTACATGTAAAGCTTAGTATAACAATTGACATTATTGGTGTAACGTGTGCCGTCGTGTTATTACGAAACGATAGACTGTTTATTGTAGTGTGTGTTGAAAGCACAAAGTCCCGTTGTTTTTTTTTTTTACATCGAAACGGGCGTACGAATACGTGCCGTAGGTGATTACTAATTGTCCTTTGTTAATTTACAATTACTACGACAAATAGTAGGCGCCTACTTAATCTCGTGTAAATTGTAGAAACGCAGTGAGGTGCGATTATTTTTTAATTTATATAGTTTTTTTTTTCTTTCGTCATTAACATTGTGAACCTATTTCTCGATGCATTTAACGTTTGCTGAAGGCCTACTTATAAATTGTAGATATTTTGTATTGAACGGGAGATTTGCAAGTACAAAATGATGGTGACCTCGTTCCCAAGTGATGTTATGACTTTATTTTGCATTACGGTTTAGGCATTCGTAAAAGAGAAATACTCGTAACGTTGTGAGGATATTGTTTGTCGGTTGAATATTTGGTAATAAATGTACGCTGGCCCATTCCGCGGTGTACGGCGGTGCTTCTGAAGCGAGTCGACATCCGCGCGGAACGTTCCGAGCGTTAGATTTTAGCATTTGTTGTATAACATATCTTTTGCCTTATAAATCGCTTGTTATTACTGTTATTAGACGTTGCTTACATATTACCACAGATAGAACATCAAATCTGTTGACAGCTGTCAACAGTATTGGCGGCAAAATCATGATTTGTCTATGGCCCTTTTCTGTATCTAAAGTTTTGTGATATTTTCCACCTACTATATTGTATAAGGGTCATAAATGGAGGAACAAACATCGTTATCTTGCCAATAATAATCCTTCAGGGTTTGGAATTATTTAGACAAGCGTCCTGCCCATCTTTTTTATTTCTCTACAATTAGACAAGGATGGATGATTACCAATTTACTTTCGTCACTAACGGTACTCTATCTGCTGATGTAAAATTAAAAAGTATTTGCGAGAGATTAAATTCATTCCATGGTTGAGATTAGAATTGATATAAGTTTCGAATCAGTTTGTATTAGTGTACAGTTAGTTAAAATGTTGGACTGGTCTACATGTCTAGGACTGGCCCATTTTTTTTTTCGATATTTGCTGATTTTAATTTAGCGGCGTTGCAGTTTGTCCTCAGCGTGGTTTCAAGCATTGGCATGTAAGATTACGATTGGTTTCAACAAAGCGTTATGATGTTATATGATACGTAATTAATATTGTTTCTAACATTTCGCCATGTCTCTAACAACTAATATACATATAAAATTTTGCATGATTATGATCATAGTCTACTTGACACAATTTGTTACGGCCAAGAAACTTAAATCAGTTTTAGATTGCATCGTAAATACAAGATTGATGATAATAAATTTGGCTTTGAAAGACTTTGAATGAAAGATGTGATTTAGACAAGAGGCAAACGAATCTATTTGTAGATGTCATAACCTTCAAGAAAGCATATTCCTTTTTAAAAGGCCGGCAGCACACCTGCAATGCCTCTGGTGTTGCGGGTGATCACGGGTGGCGGTTGTCACTTACCATCAGGTGAGCCGCTTACTCGTTTGCCCCCTGTGTTATTAAAAAAAAAAAAAGATATGTTTATGTTACCCCACGTAAGGGTAACATCTTATTTTTTTCTCATGGTGCAAGGTACTATATTTCAATGTATGTACAAATAGATTAATATGCCATTTGTTGAGAGAGTCACGATAGCTCGCTGTTTAGCGTCTCTTTCTTTCGCCTATTCCTGTGTAATGTCTCTACTGTGGTTGCCAGTCGTGTAAGCGAGATAGAAGATATACGAAATATACTGCTACTTCATATTTATTGGCGTCAATTATGCATTCACGAAGGGGTCTTAATTTGATTAGAAAGTGTCATACTCGGTCACGGCTGTGCGTGCCACTGTTGTGCTGACGTTTTGTCATGTAATGGCCATGCGTATGTCATGTGACGACATATTGATTGGATTTTTTAGCTTACAATGGCTGTGTAGTAACAACGTTCGATTGAGGGAAAATATGGATGCTAGCTTAGACTTTTAATCATGAGCCGCTGAGATAAATTTCTATACGTTTATTTGTCTCGTAAATAGTAATAAATAATTTATTTTTATTCTTTATCATGTCATAAAAACTTTTCATCTCATCAAAAAATCGTAAAACGTGATCATTTTTTTTTATTAAAAAGATAAAAAAAAACGTAAAACTACTTAAAAGACTTTAAATGTTAGTGCCCGGTACTGTTCTAACACATGTTTTGTTTAATGTAACTTTTTAAATGTAATAATTTTTTAAGGTGATTTAAAATGAGTTACAATTATAGATCTTATAATTTTAGATGGAGCGTCCACTGTAGAAAGGTGTCAAAAATATAATTTTATATGAAGCGTTCAGTGTAGAAAGGTCCAAAAAAAAAAAAACGCTTAGACAATTGTTGGCCGACTCGAATTTTTTTACCAAAATGCGCTGTAAAGTAGTGATTGTGAAATTGTGCTGTTCCTATTTATTACAGATACTGACGAATGCTATGTGTGATCTGTGACACAAATTCCATTTACACAGGAATGAAAAATTGGGTCTCTTTTTGGCGAAGCAATTGTAGAGGGACACTCCATCTATATATTATTAATGTATTACAATGTACAATAAGATATCTCAGCTGTAAACTTAACATATGTAAATTATATTTCGGTGCTTGGTTGTTGATGTTACTGTTCTGACAATGTTACAATAGCTTGGACGTTATTATGACTCATTTTAAATAATCTTTAAAATTATAACTGTAAAAAAAAGCGTTGTCATTCAAAATGTTTGTATGTGACTTAATAAAGAGTTTACAATTTGTACAATATAATAAAGTTTTATATTTGAACACCAGGAGTTTTTGGTTCTCGCGTGGTGCTAACAGTAAGAAACCTCGCCTGATTATTGACCTATCTACGATACCACGAAGCCTATATGCAATCAAATAGTTTTGTTAAATTATTTAGATTTAATAACAAAACTATTTTATTTCACGCCTTCTAGAAACCTTCATTGTCACAGTGAGCCAGTGGCGGACTGAGGGGCGGAATGGGCGGCCCTCTCCGGACCACTGGTCCTGGGGGGGCGGGCTCCAAAACGACTCCATTTTCTATGTATGTTCATTTATATCTAATTTTATATCCACTTCCAAGATTTTAACTAAATGAACATAAATACTTATATAATATATGTGAGTTTATATTATTACATCAACTTCTTAAACAGGGGGCTTCATTTAGCTTTGCCGCCCCTGGCCTTTGGTGGGCTTAGTCCGTCCCTGCAGTGATCAGAAGCGAAGTTTTGTCGTAGTCAATGGAGGTTTGATGAAAAATACTCTGGTTTCTATAGGTCATTACGCCTATTCAGATCCCGAGCCTGTCGCTGTATTTAGACTTATTTTATGGTAACTATGTATACTATAGCTTATGGAGATATTAGGTAGTGCTTACTAATAAATATTGAATCGGTACTCTGCATCAGAGTCACTGTCTGCGCCGGTGTTTGATTGTACTGAACGAAATATATGTTAAACATTAACGCCATATATTGTATGTTTACTTTCCAAATGCCACATGCCAACCGTTCGATCCCAATTTTTGACATCACGGGATTTTGGTTAACAAAATAATTTGTCAGTAACGAATATCAGTGTTTTTTTTTATGTTTATCGCGTTATCTGTTTGAACTTAACGTGACGTCATTACAGGTAATACTAATCTAGTTTGTCTACGTTAACATGGCACGTCCTTCCAACTTTTTACTTCAATATGTGTAACCTTATACGAGGTGGTGCTCTGTATGTATTCGTGAGATAATATCTTTAATAGCGGTCCAGCAAGAGGAATATATTCCTCGGTCGAAACCCTTGTAATATTTTAATGTAATATTTACAATTTTTTTTTTTTTGGATTTTGGGGCGTTCTATGTTAACGTAACGTAATAATAAATGTTATATTAGGCTGTGAGAGTACTAAATTAAAAATAGCTATGAAATGATTTTTTTTTATGTATAGTAGACCGCCATTTCAAAGATCGGCGGTTATTTTCCAAAATTACTTTGTATTTGTAAAAACAGTGCGACTGTTTTTTTTTTTTTTTTTTTTTACTGTAAGAAGTGAGAATATCGAAAATGGGCTAATGTTAGCAAAAACTTTACAGAAATATTTCTTTGAGATATTTCTATGTATTAGTTGAAGATATGTGTATTATATTTATTTTCTATTTTGTACAAGCATTAATAATCACTCTGATAAAATGTATAAAGAATCTATCTAATTTCTTGACAAATTATTTTGTTGACGACTTAACTAACCTCTCACAAGAATGGTAAACGAATATTGGTAGCTACTCTATTTCGTATGTATGAGAAAGAATAAGACACCGAATATTGCTGTCTCGTTTAATCTCATGTATGTGGTAGCGAAAACGTATCGGTAGATTCGTTTGCCATTTGTCTGTAGGTGGTGTTATCGACAATGAGCGGTTTAAACACGATTATTTACAATTAATATTTTCTGTTTGTTACATTATGGCCGAGGGTTTCAGGACATTCAATCGTGGCGGTTGTAAGGTAAACGTTTGTAAGATAATCAATATTGTATTAAATATTATATTTTTTTTGCCCTGATTAAAATGAATTCGGCCCTGTATAGTGGTTTTGTGTTAAAATGACAAGTGTCGGAGGCGAGGTGCGGCGGGCGCGGTCGCCCTAGTTGTCTAGTTGAAATGCTTTATTATAAACATATTTTAACATCGCACATAATAAATTAATCAAAATTGTTGTTTTGTTTCATTTCTAAATCCTACATGATTATAGCATAGCATAATTAAACAACATAATAAACTCGTAACTAATTTATAAGAGGCTTGTTTGAATCGAAGCATTTGGCATTCCATTGTTTTTGTCGGCCCTAATGGGAGATAGGCATGACAGATATGTATGGATGTATGTATAATAAACTCTTATAATTGGATTATAATTTCTACTGACCATTCATAATTATAACTTATACGAGATGATATGGATTACTTCATCTATATAGAAATTACATTATGTTCGTTTGTTAATGATTTTCTTTGAATGTAAAAATTCATTTGAAAGTTTTATTCAAGTCTCGTCAAATTTCTGCTGCAGGTAAAAATCATAAAAAGGAAGTTTGTTGATGTTTGCTATGTTTGCTTTAAAAGGTAAAAATTTTATATATTTTTTTTGATGGGTGAAAATGGTACGGTAACCCCGCCTGCGCTAACGGGATACGCTGGCGGAGCACCAATGAAAGGTGATAGATGAGAATGAAAACAGGCCAGTTAGCCCATCATGATGAATTCATCAGGAATTAACCATGATAGTTTCCAGGGGGAACCGCGAGCTCGACCTGTTTGGGTATATTGCTAGCAATGGGATTCTCAGTCTCCATTACTAACAATCCCTTTCCCCTCAAAAAATTTATATTTATAAAATGATAAACAAATTGAGTTAATACACTTTATTTTGTACTGGTAACACCATTGGAGTGTTCTGCATATAAATAAGAGTAAAATAAAAAGGAAGACTACAATAATTTAGGGAGACAATACAAAATAGTACTTGATTAGTACTTATCACTGGAAATAATCTATAATTATGCAGTGTTTGACGAAAAACAAATCCCTTATAAATATTTCATTTGTTCCATTTGTTTTTGAATTAAGATAACTAGTAATTTTTTTTTAATACAACTTAGAATGTCAAACAAGCTGACGGCCCTCCTGATGGAAAGTGGTAACCGTCGCCTATACACATGAGCAGTACCATGGACATAACAGAGTATACTGTTTCGCCCATGATACCCCCATGCGTTGCCATTCTTGAGGACTCAGATGTTATTCCTCTGTACCCTGTAAATTCACACCATATCCCACCCTTCAAACCGAAACACAGCCATGCAAACACAACTGGTTCACGGTTGAAACACGAATGGGACAGAGGTACCCAAGCAATCAACTTTTGTAAAAAGTCTCTCCCTCTGGTAAATTATTTTAATTGTAATTATCTTAATTCAAAAAGAAATAGCCAAAGTAGAAATAGATCAGTTGTTATTAAGTGATAACACTTGGATTTTCAAAGATTTGTTTGAAAAATTTAATATGTACAACAGTAGAAGTGTTCTCACTCTGTACAGATGTATTCCAAATTACTCCAAATGCCAACAATAAAAAAAATTGCTTAGTACAGTCAGCACCAGAAGTCGACCAACACTGGGATATTATTATGATTCTGCTATTGTCGACAATTGAGTATTAGCTAATTTTTAATTTCTCAAGTCCATTTAGTTTTTATGTATGAAATATATTTGATTGTTGCAGGGATTTTCGGAATTTGGATATTTTCATTGATTTTTGTATGTTACTGATTCTACCTTGGTTTATACAACAATATATATATATATATATATATATATATATATATATATATTAGAGTGGCTATTTATAAATATATATCTATATAAACATAGGAAACAACTAGTTTGTATATATTATATAAAAGCTACTTTACGTTATCCATTTATCTCGAGTAAATGGGTAATATAAATTGTCTTTTTTTACATATTTGTTACTGATCCAACACAATTACTGAATCTTAATTATATTAACACAACAAATTATTATAACAATAAAATACATATCTATACAAATATACATGAGAAATAAATAACTTTATCACAGCGTTTCAAATGATTCTTCAAAATAAATAGGCACAATACGATTTTCTTTGGTTAGTTTTAAATTGAGAAAAAAAATACACTCAAGGCGTGTTTCATAACACACTTAGTACAAATTGTGCACTTTAAATACACACTCGAACAAATACAGTCAATATTTGACAACAGTATTTTTATTATAAGAACAATAACTCATAGTGAAAATGTCCTTGTTAAAATTAAAAATGGATTCTAATTGCTTCAGAATGACAGCACCATATCGTCATAGTCGTAGAATACTGACGGATCTGACAAAGATTACATATAAAGATCCGTCAGTATTCTACGACTATGACGATATCTAAAGTGCTAGTAGATATAAAATAACAATAACAGGGAATATAATACAAAACGATAAAGTAAGATACCTATCTTGCTTTCCAAAAGACTGGTAAGTTTTGGTTTTGTATTAGGCTAACAAATTTCCAAGAAAAATTATTTTATACGAGTATTTCAAAGGTCCTTTCTTCTTTCCGAGGGTATCGTAAGAGACGAATAAGGGAATTCATTGGTCGAAGGACGGGTAGCACAATCCCTAATAAAACATCACTAAAGCCTAACTACGGTTTCCAGCCCGTCTGTCAAGCGTGGCAACGACTGGCAAGACCCCGCAAGAGGGGGAGCCTGGAGTAAAAAAAAAATTAATGACCGTATTGGATATAAAACAACAAATTTTCAAACTTTTTTACTGTCGATTTGAAAGTTCAAAGTCTTAGCCAAATAAGTAATTCATGTATATAATATATTTTAGTCCATTTCAATAATTTAATAATTCTAGTAATGTAATTACTAACTTTTTAAATCTGGATTTTGCTTTTAAATAATAACAATACAGTACGACTCGTGGTAGTTATTTTTCAACAATTTTAATAATAATTCATTTCAATCTACGATCTTACCTGAAGCAATCTCTTAAGATGGACGGAAATCCATTTTTTAAATAATAAAATATAAAACACTGAGGCGTTTTCATACTTGTCATTATTTGAATAGTTAACAAATTAAGAATTGATTTAACACTTTCACAAATGCCTGCCTGCAGGCAACTGTAACATAAAATGGAAGTAAGTATTGATTTGTTTATATAAATACTAGTTATGTACATAAATTAAACAGGGATTATTTACAAGAGTCCTTATTTACAAAATATTTTGTCAACGCAATAAGCATAAGTTTTCTAACAAGCAGATCATTATTAGGTTTGATTTACACGCTCACTACATACAAGTTTTAAGAGTTACACGTGGCAAATGCTGAAGCGTGAATTACAATTGGTATGGAGACTATTGCTGCAGTTTCTACTATTTGAGCACAAAAACCGCATTGACATGTTTATATTTGTGCGCGCTTGCCGAGTTCTGGCAATTGTATAAACCCAGCATTAAATAAAAAAATTGCATACAATCAACTAAGACATATATACAAAAATGCACTTATTTGTATATAAATTAAGTTTGTGCTCATTTCACGATATTAAAAAGAGACTTAAGTTTAAGAAGTACCAATATTTTCATACATATATATTAGTTTTCTATTATGTTGTAATTTATACATTAAAATGCATTGTTGCTAAAATTTGAGCACCAAATACAATAATAAAACACCATACTTCCTATAAAATAGGCCACTCCTTCCTTTCCCGTGGGTGTCGTGAGAGGCGACTAAGGGAGGGCGAGGGATAGGCAGCAGCGCCCCTCTTAAAACATCTCTAAAGCCTAATTGCTGTTGCCGACCCGCCTGCCAAGCGTGGCAACTACTGGCAAATTCCCCTAAGGGGGAGGCTTATGTTCAGCAGTGGACAGATGATGATACTTTCTATAGTTCGCCTTGGTCATTGAGAACTAGCAGACAAAGGCATACGCCTGTGAGGTTTTGTATGAAACATCTAAATTAAACCTCTCAGTGGTAAAGGCAGTATATGGAGGAGGCCTATGTTTTTAATAGTGGACAGTTACTAGCTAATACGATGATGGTCTAACTTAAACCTAAGTATTAAGTACAAGGTCATAGTATGTCATCGTCGAATGCTTCAGTAAGTATGTGCGGCTCGCCGATCGCGGGCACCATATGCGAATATTCGCTTGTCGCCCACAGATACAGGTTCAATGTGCGCTCAGTACATTGCGCTATAAACCTGTAAATATTTTTTAAATTTTATTTTATTTTATACAAAAATCCACAGCTCTTAAAAATACAACTTACATGCTAACTCTCTTATGAATACAGCCAATAACGGATTTTATTTATACAAACAAAAATTATAATTCCAAAGCAAGGTAGGCAAGTTAGAGTGGGTGTATTCAGGTAATATGAGTGCATGGGGGGAAGGGATTGTTAGTAATGGGGTCTAATAGACCCATTACTAGCAATATACCCTCTCAGGTCGACCTCCACGCGGTTCCTCCTGGAAACCATCATGTTTAATTCTTGTCGAATTCAACATAGTGGATCAATTAACCTGCATTCATTCTCACCTACCATCTTCCACTCGTGCCTTGTCGGTGTATACAGATAGCGCGGGCGGGGTTACCAATCCATTTTCATCCATTAAAATATATAAGTGCATGTATGAAAGAAACTATGTATAAATAATGAGTGTCCATAAAGTCAGGTTACGTTAATATATTTTATGTTTATTGGCGTTGGATGAATTGCAAATATGAATCGTTCTAGGATCATACTAAACGACGACCCTTCATTAAGTGACAATTTTAGAGCTTCGTAGTTTTATCATAAAAGTAATTTAAAACACGAATGTTTATCAAACAAAACTCTGCTTAACTGATAAAAATACGAATTTAAGAAGTTATTTAAAAAAAACAAATGCGATTGTGGCAAAAACCAGTTATTTCGATTTAAATACTAAAGTACTAATTCGATTTTGATAAAATTTCTATGTCACCAATCTGTCAGTGATATACTTACTTTCGGATAAAACAAGAAGTTTCCAATTGTCTTCCACCATCCACTTTTTTTTTAATTAAAAATTAAAATAACAGCTGATATAACAAACGGCATAACTTACAAAGTTGCATTAAATAGTTTGGTAAGAATTTGACAAGGTCATAAAACACAATTGCTACATTCCCAGCTGGTTAAACTCACCTCACAAAAGGCCTGACGTCACCCTCATTGGCCGTCTGTAAGTGTTGATAATACAGGTGACGATGTTGCTTAGCGATGATCACTGGGGGATAACCAGCCTGCATCAGGAGAAGGTTCATGAGGAGCCGCGACGTTCGTCCGTTGCCATCTATGAATGGGTGTATGTGGACTAATTTATAGTGAGCTAATGCAGCATATCTGAAATGATATATAATTTTAAATTTGGTATTTGGATTTTATTTAGATTTTTTTTATATTAGCTAGACATGTGATGGTACAAGAAATGCTTGCAGAAGTAAGATTCAGTGTGAGTTAGAAATTCAGGAGGTAGGTGAACTAATTGCCTCCATGTCGGCTAAAAATAAATTTATTTATTTATACTTTTGCAAACACCAAAATAGACATATTTTAAAGTGTGCAATTTAAAAGTATTTATCATAAAATACCCAATTTTTTTTTCATTTAACAATATTAAACCCTTGCTTCAAGCATGTGTAGCTATAAAAAGAAAAAGAAGTAACAAAATAAATAGAAAGCATCACAAACCTTACTGGATGAAGATCTAAAGCATCTTCTGAATTTAGCCATTCTAAAAATTGGGCCATCAATTGCTGTATCTCTGATGGTCCTGGTGGTATGTGGCCACCCACATACACCTGAGTTCTTCTAAACTGTCCTCCTTCTATAGGATCCACATGCCCTAGCACCCGTTTGTGGATCTCTAGTATATCCCCCATAGTGATACCTCGTAACCTATACAACAATGTCGAGTTTATATATTTCATAGCTGCATCTAGCCCAAGAATCTCATTATGTTCATCTATACTCTTCCCTGAAACAGCTATTCGTGTCTCCAATATGCTCCTTGTCTGTTGCAAAGTCATAGTATTACCTTCAATGCCCACTGTGTGATATATGTGCTGGAAATAGGCTTCTTTTTTTGCTCTACGTAATGCAGAGTTATTTTCCGGTATAGAGAGCAAGGCATCTCTCTTGTCATCAATCTTTCTCAGCATTTCCCTGTCTAAATTCTCTACAATGCTTGCTGTTCGCTGCCTGTTCATTAAGGCGCCAGTGTGTTCTGGGAAATTTGATAAGGCCAATGTGTAGAGCTGATCTGCCTTTACAATATCCTTTTGCGTATCCTCTAGGAACTCCCCATAGTGGTTCAATATATCAGCATGCTTTGGAGACAGTGCAAATGCATGTTGGAAGAGTTTCATTGCCTTGTCTGCCTTACCATTTCTTTTCATTTCTAATGCTGCGTTGAGAGACACTACTGCCTCGGAATCTCTGGCTTTATCTTGTTTTTTTGGATTATTATTTATTGGAGAAATTTCTTCAAATGGTTCTAAGTGATTCCCATACAATCCCATTGGTATGGGAGAGAACGGCCTGATAAGTTTGACTTCATAATACAATAATTTATGTAAAGAGATAACAACAGCCAACGTACACACCACACTGGATAGCATTAGAACGGTTTTACACTTGTCCAAAATCATTTTTGTGTTAGAATGGTTTTGATTACACTTCATCGTCTCTGTATCGGTGGGCCTACCTAGTAATAGCATTATTGTTTCGATCAACACATATGTTCACAGATAAACTTTTCGCTCTAATCACTGACAATAATTTAAATTGCATTATGTATTGCAATAAATATTTCTAAACAGTGAAAACATACAAATAACGTGAGACCACGTAAGGCCACTGCTGTGACGTTTGAGTTTTTTTTTTTTTTTTTTAGTACGTTTGTTCCGTTTGGAACAGGCTAAGGTCGGAGACCATGCTGCCTAGTCTTCAAAAAGATAATTTGTCTGGAATTTTATTTTTCTAATGTCGCTTCAATTATTGTCATAATCTTCAATATTTCATTTGTCAAATCCGGTAAGTACATTTTCATAAATATCTTTTCTTGAGTTTTCTTAAACCAGTGGATTTATCAAATTAAAAATAAATAATTATAAAAAATCATTGTCTTGCAATTCAATAAAAGTATTCTTATAGCTCCTTGAATGTTGTAGTAATATAAGTGAAAATAGCTTTGAAACAAGAAGGAAATCTTAAGAGAAGCGGGATTGAGTGCGGGATATTTTCGGGTTTTTTGAAGATAATCCTAAGTTCGTCAAACATAATGTGTCTTTGAATGACAAATTCAGAGCAATCAAAAAAAAGGTGATGTAGAGATTGGGCTGTATTTGAGTTACACCATGTGCATGATGGGGAAGCGATCATGCCCATTCGGTGCAGGTGTTCGTTGAAATGTCCGTGGCCGATTCGTAATCTACAAATATTGGTGTAAAATTTTCTGTTTGTGTCCTTTCCTTTGCAGAACCACGTTTTTCCAATACGCCAATTAATTTTGCGGTACCATTTGCCTTTAGTCTGTAATATTTGAGTCCAATGCTCCTCCCATTTAGTTGTAACGATTTTATGTATTCCAATACTACAATCTGAATAACAAAGGGGTAAATCTTGAACACGAGCAGCACTTGAATTAATAATTTTAGCCAAAGTGTCTACTTGTTCATTCCCAAACACTCCAATATGTGAAGGGGTCCAGATGAAGATAATATCTTTTCCATATATAGTACAGAGATGATAATATTTATTACGAATTTCTTGAATTAAGTAGTTTGATGATGAAATGAATGTGTTATTTTTTAATGCCATAAGAACACTCATACTATCTGTAATTATAATCCATTTCGAATATAGTACCTGTTTTTCTATGTATTCTAATGCTAAAAATATAGCTTTTGCTTCTGCTGTGTAAATACTAGCCAAAGTTGAAATTTTATAACCGTGACCAAATCTATTTGACAAATCGTAAAAAGCCACTGAAGTGCTAAGTGCATTTTTGGAACCATCTGTATATATCTGCCTGTAGTCAATAAATTCTGATAAAGTCTCATACATATCGTGCTTTTCTTTTATGTCTTTACGTATAACAATTTTGATCTTACAGAACTTACTCTCATAAAGGCCATTATAACAAGGAAGTATCTTACTACTATAGATGTTATATTCATCTCGTAAATTCAAATCATTGACAATAGTTTTATTCAAAAACATAGAAATGGGGCAATTTAATAATTTGAGTATGAGTGGGTTATTGGAAACTGAAAAAACTTTGAAGAGAAATTTGAGTTTTAGGTATTCGAAACGAAGAAGGATAGGAGGCAAATTACATTCTACTTGCATTGAGATAATTGGAGAAGTATACATAGCACCTAAAATAAGTCTTAAATTCATATTTTGAATTTTTTCGAGTTTTTCTACTAATTTATGTTCTGAGGCATAACAAAAGAAAGCGTAATCAAAATTACTTCTAACAAGAGATTTGTAAAGTAAAAGGATAATTTTAGGATCAGCTCCCCAGTTACGACCAATTACAGATCTTATTATATTAGTGGCTCTTAAAGCACGATCTACTAAGCAATCAACGTATAGATCCCATTTTAAATTTTGATGAAAAATTACCCCCAGAAATTTAACGCTACAGTCTGTTGGAAGAGTTTGATTATTATATATAATATTCATTAATGGAACATATTTATGAACTTGATGAAAAACAACTACTTTACTTTTGGTTAAACTAATATCGAGGGAAAGAAGAGAAAAATATTTCTCAAGTCTTTTTAATGACTCATTTAACACTAATTGCATATCAATAATATTCTTTCCTTTTATATAAATTAATAAATCATCGGCAAATTGCAAGTTGTTCACACTGTTTCCTAAAATTGAATTAAGTTTATAGATATATAAAATATATAGTAGCGGGCTTAGAATACCACCTTGACATACTCCTTTAGAGCTTAACCTAGGTCCTATTAATTTACTATTTACTTTAACATACACTTCTCTATTACTAAGAAAATTATAAATCCATTCGATAAGTTTCATTGGAAGAAATGAGGATAAAATCGAAGATAGAACTGTTAAATTTACATTGTTAAAAGCTCCTACGACATCTAAAAAAACAGATAGAACATATTCATCGTTATTCAAAGCAGTACTAAGGTCGACATAGAAGTTCGCTAAACTTTCGCGCGCTGAATATCCACGGCGAAAACCAAATTGATTCGATGGTAATATACTATTACTTTCAATAAAGAACTCTAAACGCTGTTTAATTAATTGTTCGAATAATTTGCCTGCACAGGACGTCAATGTTATAGGTCTATAGGAGTCGAAATTTGTAGGATCTTTACCGGGTTTAATTACTGGAATCAAACAATCCATTTTCCATTCTGGTGGGATAATACAGTCCTTCCATAAATCGTTAAAAATTTGTAAGAGTTTAGTAAGGTTTATTTTATTCAGCAATCGAAACATATTGTATGTTAAGCGATCAAGGCCACTAGCTGTATCTTTTCTAGATTTTACTGCACTGGATATTTCATCAATTGAGAATGGGTCAGTGAGAAATTTTGGGCATGAATTAACAGAATTAAACTGTTTGTCATCAAAAGGTGAGTGTACAAAATCAGGAGTATATTTGCGTAAAAAATCATTGACCCATGATATATCTTTAAAATGATTTTGACGATGTTTTGAATTTAGTTTTCTCATATTTTGCCAAACAGTGGAAATTGGTGTTAATCTATTAAATTTGGAACAAAATTCCTGCCACCCCTGTTGTCTTACTTGCTTAATTACTAACTTTTTAACAGCTTGAACTCTTTTAAAATTTATGTAATTATCGAGAGTTGGATTTTGTTTAAACCTAAGGTAAGCCGCTTTACTATCATTGACAGCTGTCGCACACCTGTTATTCCACCAAGGTACTGCAATATGTTTGTGCCTCTTTGAAGTATTTGCACCGCTATTTGATAAGTTCCTACGTGGAACGGAACGTTCCACAGCTGTCAAAATAATTTTACAGAACCTATTGTAATTGTTTAAGGGTTCATTGACATCATACTCGAAATCCAAAAGTAATTGATTAACAGTTTCAGAATAAAGATCCCAATTAACGAGACGTAGGTTTATACGATTTAACAAAAGTTTATTAACTTCATCTATAGGAGCATGTTGTTCACCTGACGGAGTTGATGAAGAGTTCTTTGTGTTTATTTTAGTAAAAGTCGGCAGGTGATAACTTCCTAACGGATCATCATGAACCGACCACTCGCATTTTAATGATATGGATGGGGATACCATAGTTAAATCAAGGCCATTGGGTCTCCAAATATGAGAGCCAACAGTAGTAACTTGCTTATCATTTAATAGTACCAAATTACATTCATCTAAACAATCAAGAATGTCTTTACCTCTTGTATTAGTGGAGGTACAACCCCACATAGTATGATGTGCATTTAAATCTCCAGATATGATAGTGGGTTTAGGAAGAGACTCCAAAAAGAACTTAAATTTGGCTTTAGTAAAACTAGGTGTACTATTGGTAGGACAGTAAATACTGGCAACTGAATACCAAGAATTATTAACTTCAATACTAATAGCTATAGTTTGCAAAGAATTGTCGAAAAAAGAGTGAAGTTTTTTATATCTAATACTATTATGTATAATAATCGCTACTCCATTGTGGTTATTACCACAATCATTTCGTTCTATACAATAATCTTTAATTTTTAATTTGTAATGTGGTTTTAGCCAAGTTTCTGAGATGAGAGCAATGTGAATATGATGTTCATTTAAAAATTGTGTAAAAATATGTCGATTGCTCAGTAGGCTCTGAGCGTTCCACTGTATGATAGTTAATTGGTCTCGATTGAATTTTGTGAAATAGGTGTATTACCAAAAGTATCATATAACACATTCAAAACACTTTTAGTGTTAATAGATGTGTTCTTTGTGTTATGTAGTGAAATAAGTTTGATTATGCTTTCTATTAAAAGTGATAAACTCTTGTTATCAGAATTTAGAATTGAAATTAGGTCTACATTTTTTTTAGGTTTGTTACCCAGTTTAGGAAATATTTCAGTGCTAAGTATATCTCCAAAAGAAGCAGGTCTGAATTTAGATCTATTTTCAGCAATTTTCTTTTGTTTAACAGGGCATTGCGGTGATACACTTGTGTGATTTCCATTGCAGTGTACACAAATAGCGTTTTCCATTCCAGTTGTACAAGTTTTATAATTATGCTCACCTTTGCAGATGCTGCAACGCTCAGAATTCTTACAGAATTTAGCTAAATGTCCATACCTCAAGCACCGGTAGCATTGTTTAACTGGTGGTATATATGGAGTGACATTGTGGCGCCAACCTCCAATATCCAGATATTCAGGTAATACAGATGCAGCAAAAGTAATTGTCACGGTTAGAGTTGGCTGTAACACATATCCATGAGTCAAGGTATTTTTTCTTAAAATTCTTTTAATAGCAATAATTTTCTTAGAACTCGATATCATAGTATATATTTTTTTATTAGATATATTTGTAGGTACATTTCTAATAACGCCTGTAACTTCTGTTGAAGAAGCAGGAATACTGGCCTTAAAATGGTAGTCATTTAAAAAAGTTTTATTATTTAAAAAAGCATTGGCTAAGTCTGGCTTTTGAAAGTATACTCCGATTTTGAATTTATTTATAGATCTAAGATAAGTTACCCCTTTATTAAATCGTTTTAAACAGGAGGAGAGTGAGAGCAAGTCTCTGGATCCAATGGTTTTCTGACTATCTGAGGATTCTACAAAGACAACAAATTCTGTCCCAGGGGATTCCTCGGGATATCTTCTAATATAATCTGTGACGTAGTAAGGTTTATACTTATCGGCCTTATCAATTTCAGATTCTGAGTCAGTAGAAGTATCTTCCGAATATATATCTTTGTCATTACAAGGTTCATGGTCTACATCACCTGAATCGTCATCTTTTTTTTTCCTTTTTCTACAACTGCGCTTCCCCATGAATGCTAATTATATTACTGTCGCTGAATTTAGTGAAAATATAATATTTTATTCAATAATAAGAATTGATAGAGATAGTTTTAATAAATTAATAAAAAAAATTTAAAAAACCCGCTTGTTCTTATTCGAGTTTCCCGCCTTTTTTTTGACGACGTTTGAGTTATCAATATGTCATTCAAATGTCAGTCTACGTATATTGTCATTCTAAATTTATAAGCCAATCAACTTTCATTTCCGTCAGCTGTAGTAGCTGAACCCTAAAAACAAGGGTAGTAGATGTGTATGTAAACCATCTGTATAAATGACAATTGGATGACTTGAGTTGCACTTTGGCGCGAACACCAAAACTTTTGAAATAAATAAAAGTTTGGGAAAACTTAGGAACAAGAATGGAAAGATAACATTGTTGTTTATATAAAAATTATGTAACTCATAATGTCTTTTCGATACTAAAGCCTATTCCCATAGTCTAAGGGACACAGTTAGATTGAAGAGACTTTTAGTATTGTGTCAGCTTGTGCTATAGCTTTCTTTGTGCTCAATAAAGTTACAAATAATTAACTATTATGGTCTGTTCTTATCTACTTTTTCTTCTAATTTAATTATTATTACTATATTTCTCAGATAATTATATAAATGAAGGATAGATAGCAGTCTCCCTCTTAACATTACCAAGGCCTAGTTGTAGTTGCTAACCCGCCTGCCAAGAATCCTCCTTATGAGAAAGGCCTATGTTCAACAGTAGGCAGTTAACGGCTGATATAATGGGATTGCTAGTTCTTATTATTAGCAATTCCTTTCTACAATAATATGTGTCTACTGATAACTTTTGGTGTAAGTAAGTGTATGATAACTTCAGGTAATGGCATAATCATTATTTTTATGAGAATTATGTATTTGTCTAATTAGAGACTATAAAATCATACGCATGGCTATTTCTATCTGACTCTTACACTATTGCTAAACGCCTTGCTTATGATAGCTCTATCTCGGTTTAAACGATACGATCATGGAATAATTGATTTTCAATGTGGTTATTGTCCATGGGCTGTGGTGATTACTTATCCTTTAGACATAGTCTCTCCAATTCTGTTCACTAACCATCAGGTGAATCGCATGCTTGTTTGTCGCCCTCTCACATAAAAAAGCTGATAAATTACGTATGAAGATCAATCTAATATAAAAACCATAAAATGTTAGATAGACAAAAGGTATTGTGAAATAAATAACGCGGTTAAAATTATTTATGTGTATTTTCCATAATTTCACTTCTCAGCAACAATCTCTCAAATAAATAATGAAATATTTCTATGATATCATTCAGATCATTTCCTGATAATGTAAAAATATTAAACATTAAATATAAATAGTTTATTAGTTACATAAATAAAACAGCTACCTAGAGTAAGTATTATATCTACAATGCATTAATTTCACTATATTTTATTATAATGTTGCCCACCAAAATTGTTCAATTTTTAAGATCGACAGTGGCAACCAGAAAATTATAAAAAAAAAAAATTAACCGAACGATTGACTAATGTCATCGTTAAGAAATCGATCATATTTTTAGGCATCATTATTGTTATAACACTCTTCCATTGAAATTCGAAAGCATAAACTGCTTGACTGCTTCGCTATATCACTATTATTATTATAAATATGTAATCAATACAGCGTAGAATCTACAACGATGACGTTGACTAGATTAGCCGTAGCTTGATATAAAAAAAAAAAAACAATCACCAACCGAACGCGATTGATACTGGCAGTTTCCGTGGTTTGCAGATTCGAGAGAAAAGCTGCAAGTATTTAAATATTGTGATTTCTACGAAATGCGTTGTGATTGTGACTGTTAGTATAATTCCATAGATGCTCTTGCCTCATAATTTCCTGCGGTCGGGAGCCTTATATTATTGTCCATTGTCGGGCATGAGTCTTATTTTATATTAATTATTTATCACTACACTTAGCACTATTTTATGGCAGTATACAGGAAATTATAGAGCATACAACACGGATATCTCGTAATCAAGCAGCTTATGAATATTGGCTTTGATTGTCTATGCCATTAAGACGAGACTAATCTTACGGTCGAAAGAAATTGCTTATTGGTTAATTCATTAGAATCATTTTGTTTAATTCCACTATAATTAGTATGCGTACGACTGCTAATAATTAAGGATTGACTACTATTATTATTAATAGAAGTTTCACGATCATTCATATCATTCATCAAGTTCTGACCGTTATTGCGTCACTTGTGTTACCTTTCAACACAAGTGACGCAACATGTGAAGATGCCTTGTAACATTCGTTATAAGGCATCTTCAGGTTAATTGATAGATCGCGTTTGGCGCCCAGACTAGTTTAGCGGAATATAAAATATGATAGCGGAATTAAATAAAATAATTCTAATTAACTAACCAGTGATATGGGTCTCAGCAAATTGACACCTAGTTCAGTTAAATATTAAAATTGCTTATGTACATGCATTCGCATGTTATATATAAATATTACAATCAAGTGCATGTAATATTTACATGCGAATGATTTCAGTTTAGATCTATTTAATGTTTAATCCATGTATTTATTTAGTAAAAAAAGTCTAAATTGCATATAATTTCGGCATAGTAAATAAATGCCTTTACACATTTTTCTTAAAACTAAAATAAAAACGTTTATTAAACGCAACTATAATTCCGTTATACGAATTTAGTACATATTAATATCTATAGATATAGGCACTTATTTATACAATGTGCAATGGATAGGGTACAACAGTTTCGAATTCAACGATAAATAAATATTTTTTTTCTATGAAATTAATTATATAAGCTATGCTGTCGCGAAACATAAAGAGTCGTAAATATGAAGTTCACGACATTGTTATTTTATTTCCATCCATGTTATTTGAAGTTCAGACAAATACAGATACTCATGAATGCAAATATTTGTATTGCGAGGGCACCGAACCCACACAACGGACATGAGGTAGTGTGTGGGTTTACCAATTAAAAATCTTCTAGGTGCATAACCTAAGTACCTACTAACACAGAATTCCGAATGTTTATACCCCTTCCATTACACTGTTTATAATTTCACACGTTGTGTATACTATCTATAATACTAATATTTATAATTTGGAATTTATATTAATACATTTAATTTAATATGCGCGACCTGCGTCCCGCGCAGGCATTCCTAATCAAAATTCAATTGATACAATATTAGATTTATCACTCGAAATGACTAAGTTTCAAATAACATAATGATCGATCCAAATTAGCAGATTTCACATCTTGAGAATTAAACTTAAAATTAATGAAGTCATGTTTTCTATCTGAACACAGAAAAAAAGTAAAAAAAAAATATGCCATTATTGGCGGCAATATTTAAAAATTATATTAATGGTTCCTAATTTGAATTATTGTCTATGAACTATTTAAGATACGTGTCGTTAAAAGAATTAAAAAAAAGTAATTTCTTAATTATTCCATTCTTAATTTTTATTAATATTTAGTATTAATTAAAATTCCATTAGTTTTGCGGAGATTTGTCATGGAAGAACTTAGGACATGTGATAACTTATTTTCTCCAATGATCTGACTTCATCAATTTGTTCAATTGAATTAGGCATAAAAAATGCTGTGAATCTACACCTTAAATATTAGCTGTAAATGCAGTTAATATTATTGCATTTTATAAAAATAAATATTCAATCATTTACCTACACAAAGACAAATAAATTTAATTGTGTTTCTATAAATCAGAGTTATGTCATGACATGATTGAAGTAATCGATACATATTCGAGTACATATTAATCTAACATATGTATAAAAGATTTAATATGTATATATGTATTGAAATATAATATTTAATTTATAACTTACAAAATTATGTTTGTGACATAAGGTTACGATTATATGAAATCTTGTAGTACAAAAATGACAAAAAATCACTATCTACTTATAATTTATTTAAATATCTACAATAGGGTCGATTCTGAGACGCGATTTCTCTAAACCAGTCTTTAAATTTAAAATATCAATTTGATAACACAACGAAATCTTTCTTATAAGTAACCAATATGAACTAAATTTATAATAGAATTAAATGAAAGTTTTTGTAAATTTAGCTTAGGATGGTCTATAAAATTATAATTTTCCGAAACTATCAAATTAATCTGTCCGATAGGTTTTGAGAAATAGCGCCTCAGAAACGACCCCAATATAAACTCCATAATGTATGTATCTGTCAATTCGCTCTACACGTCACGTAGGAACAAATGAGCGGATAATATTGTAGGGGAAAATCTCCATTGAACAAATAGAGAGATTGTATATCTTATGATGTTCAAGTCTTTTTCTGATGGTATCGATGAAAATTTTAATAAAAACATTTCGGACTATGGTAAGACAGTCGGTACAATGAGCGCTATGGGCAGCGCAGTACGTTGTGTGTCCATGGACTAAAAGTCACGAAAAAACAAACCGATCTTTAGTTTTTCCATTGAAACTTGAAACGGTTTTTTACAAATGGGGAGGGTCGATTAAAAAAGCCCACATTGTAAAATGCATTAACCTAACATTTCAAGTAGTTACTCTTAAATATCAAAATAGACATAGTATTGATATGTCTGTAGGAAGTATTTGTGAATACTTCAATAATATAGAACCTGAGCTTCAAAACGTACACTTGTGACAAAGACAAGTGGGTTTTAATATTAGGATCAATTACATATAGAATCGACTATGATCATTATTGAGTAGAGTGAGCAGCCAAAAGTGATCATGGTGCCCATAGCGATGCTGGAGTGGTACATCCGGAACGCCTTCAGAACACGGATGTAGCGTGGACAGTGCGCCAGTTCGCCGAGAATCAGTTGGCCAACCTGAAACAAAAAAAAAATTGAATTATTTTATTTATTTATGTACATTTTATTGCAGCATTTTATAAAATAATAAATTTAGTAAATTTTAATGAGAAGTGATACAAGTAAAAATTTTTTTTTTAAGTTTTTTTAACAGTTTTTTTTTTAAGTTTTTAATTACAGTGAACACTCTATATAAGTAACCTCTCTATAAGCAACATTTTTTTATATTTTATTTATTCTACTCAGCTTAGTTAGTAAAAGAAATAAGTAAAAATATTTTCCAAACGGTAAGTATTTTTATACTCCTTTTTCCCCTATAAGCAACTTTTCCCAATAAGAAACTTTTTTTTATTGAAATTGGTTCAAATGAGTTGCTTATATAGAGGGTTCACTGTATTGTATATAAAAAAAATCCTAAAATCCTATTTATATACGATGTCGCCCCCTGACATATTTAGATGTAATTAATATGCTAGCTGAAATGTTGACATATAGAGTGTTATATTTTTCAGTTCGTCACAATATAATAGTCGATAAATATATTTGATTACCCATAAGTAATTGTAGTTTAGTTTATTTCAAGAGAAATTAATGAAGATGTGAACAAATGAACTTCTAAGCTGTATGAAATCACAATTAGGGATTAGGGTGAAATTCGAATCGATTTGCATTGATAATTTACACAAATATCCATCTATCGGAACAATATGGAACCATTATGTCGCTAGTGTTGCAAGTGTGCGAAACGTCTCAATTTTAATATCGATTTATTGGAATTTATTTCAAGAGAGACCCCACAGATAAAATAAATAGTTTTTTGAATAATTATAAAACTGACTATAATACAACAAAATACAATAATAATAACGATTAAAAATCGTTTGATTAATTGAATGCGTGGATTTGTTACTAATTTCACTTAGAGAGTGTTTCTGTGCCAATTTCAAAGAAACTTGGTTACGTTTTCATTGCGCTGTATTAAAAAAAAAAAAACAATAGCAAGCTTATTTTTTTATTTTTGAGAATGCCGACATCGATGTGTCAATTACTACATGATAAAGGAATTATCTTACAAATTTCAAGTACGTATCTAATTAGGCACTTATGGTTTCGTAGATTATGTCATTGATTATTTGATAGTGAATAAGTGGCATTTATTTCACTTCTATATTATACTTAAAGATTATTTTTTTATTATTTCCTCATTTCCTAAAGATAATAATAATGAGATACGTAAATTATTATCTTGTGTTTTTAGGTCGACCATTAAGGCAGGCATTATTAATCATTCACAATTAATGTTCAATTTATTGTTTCAGTTACGAATTCTTTATAAAATTAATCAATAATTTTAGAAAAGTAATTAATTGCAAAAAAATTATGTCAGCATTTAATATATAGTTTATTATTATGGTTATTTTTGAAACCTTAAAAATTGTGGATTGAATTAAAAAATAGTGGACTGGATATGTTTTCCTGTATCAGAAAAAAAGAGACAAGGGACAATATTATAGTTAAGTGACTGTAAATTAATTTGATATTAAATCTATTTCGACTATTATGGTTTCATTGCTTTGCGAACTTAAAAAAATATTTCATAAACATATTATCTATTATATGCTCAACGAAGGCCAAGAATAATAGAATAATTGCATCATTATTATTAGCATTGTCTAATGGAGAGTAGAAGGTTTTGTTACAAAATACATAACATTGCAGAAATTGTGCATTCGTATGACACGTCTTTTATCTTAGTATTGTATCTACCTTTACACCTAGTACTGTATATATCGCATTTTCGATAAGACAAGGGCACATCATACAAAAAAAAAAACGCAACATTAGTTAAATATGCTAAAGAACTATAAAAACATTCCATTTTCTGGTCGAAGCAAAGCCTCGAAATAAATACGGATTATTTGCCGCCAGACAGCAATAGTGTCTTTGTCATTTTAGATGAATTTGGTGAAAAACACGATATTAAATGTAAAAAAAAAAATAGCTGTCCTGTAAAATCACAAAAAGTACAGTGTGTACAGCGATATGTAGGAAGCATGCTCTTTGAAATGTGGTATTTCGTAATTGATGAATACCAAAAAATTTTAATGTTAGAATAAGAATATATATGTTTGTTTATAAGCATAGACCGACACAACACACATACGACACGTCAATATCTCGAATTACACCATAATACTATAGGACTACCTCATTAGGGATATTTATTTAACATTATTTTTGTAATATATATCTTATCTATGGAGTACTTAGTGTCGAATTGCTTTCTCTCTGGCCCAATAAAAGACAGATGTGACGTAAATGTGTGTGTATTTAATTAGCATGTCTACACACGCATGCGTTGAAGGTTACACTTTTTATTCTATGACAAATATATAGCTATTTATAAACTATTAACATATATTTTTTGCTGTGTGGTCTCGGCATAGAATAGGCCACCCATTCCTTCTCCGGGGGTGTCGTACCAGGCGACTATGGGAGGGATAAGCGATGGGAGCAGCGTCCTTCTTAAAGCATCTCCAAAGCCTAACTGCGGTAGCCAATCCGCCTGTCAAGCGTGGCAACTACTGGCAAAACAGAACCAAGTGAGAGCCTTATGTTCAGCATTGGACAGTTAAAGGCTGATATGATGACGATGATTAGTTATTACATTCATTAACTAAAACGGCAAAAAATAGAAACTGAAGGAATTACTTTTTTCTCGTTTCACTTTTTTGCACATGGCAAATTACGGAAATCGTACTGATTTGGAGAAAAAATAACGTTTGGGTACAAAATCAAAATTGGCATCTGGCAACCCTAATTTAAAGTCATAGTACCCAGTATTTTTACTTCACTAATGATATTATATTAATTAATCACTGCACTAGAGTGTTAGTCGAGTCAATCTTATACAAACATCGTCCTATCCACTTCAAATAACTAGAACATACTGTCTACCCAATGTCTAGAGGCCATTGTAACATTGCAGTTATCTTTAACCTCGTTGGCTGCACTTAAATATTGAGAGTTATCAAGTTTATCTAAACAATTAAAGTAATACTCATTAATTACGAAAAATAAACATAAACGACAATAATTTTATTAATTTATAAATTATTACATTAAAAGATAGAGATAGAGTAAGAAACAGTGTGATTAGAGAGAAGTGTGGACTGAAAGACGATGTAGTGACAAAAATCGAAAAAGGAATATTGCGTTGGTTTGGTCATTTGGAGAGGATGGATGAAAGAAGAATTACGAAAGAGATTTATCGAGCAAGAATGAATGGAGATGTCGGTAAAGGCCACCCTAGATGGACGTATGTCGACCAAATAGGCGACGTGCTGAAGAAGGGCCAAATTAAAAGTACCCGTAACCGGCGAGCGTGTATGAAAAGATTGATGAATGTGGAAGAAGCGAAAGAGGTTTGTTTGAATCGAAGCATTTGGCGTTCCATAGTTTCTGCCTACCCTAATGGGAGACAGGCGTGATAGATATAAAAATATATAAAATAATATAAAATGTTTTTATTAAAATCTAAGTATTTTGTTTTCTACTGCAGACTTTATTGTTGGATGTCTCATATAATACAGGCAATTAGCGAAACTGTATTGGAATTATCATTATTATATATTAAGAAAACTATAAGGCGACTAAAGGAATTTAATGGTCGAGGGATGGGCAGCAGTATTCCTTTTAAAACATCTCCAAAGCCTAACTGCGGTTGCCAACTTGGCAGGCGACTGCCAAGTAAGGCAACTATTGCCAAAATCCTCCAACAGCTGATATGGTATGGTAAGAAAGATATAAGAGAACGTTGACTTTTTAATTTTGTTATTTTAGAGATTTTTTTGTGTTGTTGGTAGATTATCGTCTCGAATATAATACTAAACTACCGATAAATGTTACTAAGATAAAAAAAAATACGTAAGACGTGTCTTACGAGATGATCGAGTCACAAGGTCGAGGTGACTTCAGAAGTTAAAATACGTTGAATACTCTGCCTACACAATGCCAACATTTGATAGATTGATATTTTACTTCGTGATAGTTTTCTTTTTCCTTAGAATACTACGTTCCATTAGAATGAAAAATGACTAATTAATGTTTAGCATTTAGCTTTAACTATGCTAAAATCTTAGATACATAACTCTCTAGTGCTATATAGAGTTATCTATCTAAAGCTGCAAGTAACGTGCAATTTGCAATATCTATAATATTACTTGTTTTATATTCTCTGTCTACTCTATGGGACGCTGACACTAAGAACAAGGAATGACATAGAAGGAGTGATAAAATTGTCAATTCATAGCAGGCTAGTGTATAGAAAATGTTATACGGTGATATAACCCTACCAAATTAGGATACACCCTGCTTGCACACTTTCTACATAAACTGTGTCGAACATATAATCTAGTAATCTAAAATTGGTCATTGACAAATAATTGACATATCAAACATTTTCTATACACTAGCCTGCTGTTAGTTGACAAAAATGACAACTGATGGTGTATCTTTTGTCCTCTTTTTACTAATTATGTTTGCATAAGAAGAAAAGAGGCAACCATATGATTTACAGTCTTTATTTTATCATTCCTTCTAAATAATTCCTTATTCTTAGGGCTGATGTGGTGTTTAAGTTGTATTTACTTACTTCCTGGCCGCCACCGGCTGCTTCCTCCATCTGTGTTTTGATGTGCTTGGCGACTATCATCGGCCTCACCAGTCGTAGCCTAATGAATGCTTCTATACTGAGTGTCGCGAGCAGGAGTGCTACCTGCAATTAAAGGAATGGAACATTGTAAATAAGTTTAAAGTAATACATCTAGTTATATAATAATATTGTCAATTACAATCTGGCTGGCTCTTGGCCACAACAGAAAATCAGCGTTTTGCTCTCTCTCTCTTTCTCTCTCTCTCTCTCTATATATATATACATACATACATACATATATATATATATATATATATATATATATATATATATATATATATATATATATATATATATATATATATATATATATATATATATATATATATATATATATATTTCTACTTTTGTGCAAGTCTATTGTTGTTAGTATGGTGTAAGTGAGGCAAATAAATTATGGTATCTATCTAGTCGTATTATGTGAATAGTTATATATCTAAAAACGACCTCACGAAGTAACCATACTAGTGGTTACTTCATCTCTCGTGGATAAATGGACACAGGTAGATTGGAACAATTCTTTGTGATGAAATTTAAGGGAAATCTACTTCAGCAGTGGACGGGTTGATTAGTTAATAAGGTAATGTAGATATAATATTAATAAAAAAAAAAAGTCAGTTTGTCGTAATGGACGAATACTATATATGCCATTATAGTGTTTATATGGGCGCATCATAAGTATAAAAAAATATGGCACATTTATCACAGATAAATTTACTTAGGTATTAGGTCATAAAATGGAATTTAACCGATGTTTTTGTTACTATTTTATCAATATCTTGCATAAGGTAAGACATTTGTATGAAATAAGTCGATCGCTGAAATCAAATAGGACAAAGTGCAATGCCTATTATAAAGAATTGTCATAGACAATACGGGTATATTTTTACCACTATGAGTTAAGAAAAATAGCAACTGATTGCATATATTTCATCCTTTTTTTACTAATTATATTTGCATAAGAAGAAAGAGGGAAACTATGTAATTTACTGTTTTTATTTTATCATTCCTTCTACGTAATTCCTTGTTCTTTGGTTTTTACTTCTGCAAATGGTTACTTTTCCAATGTTTGAACGTTTTTAAAGTTTACATGTAATCAGGTGTTATCATACAATCACAAAAATGAAATCACAAAAAAAATCTTAACATGTGATTTTATAATTTAATTATATTCTCTATAAAGATTAGTCGCAATTAAATGTCATGAGTCTAATCAAAATGAATGTTCGCTTAATCTGTTTATTTTTAAAGTATTAGATTTAATCTATGTATTATTCATTATTTGTTATTCTTTATCTGTGAAAGAGGTAAAATTAGTTCCTTTGTATGTTATGTATCTTTGTGTTTTTGTTGTACGTAAGGTGACTATTCCTAATCTATGATTGGGGGTAATCTCAATGATCTTTGGAACTAAGGAACAATTTTTTTTTCATTATAAAAGTATTCTTTTTTTTTAATTGACGGTTAGATTTTTAAAGAATATTTTTATAGGATCTAGAGGTTAAGAATTCCACATCGAAGGTGTTGTTCGCGGTAATTTCTAATGTTGCAATTGATTTGCCAATATGTTGTCATCGAAATGTAGGGTGATATAATTATTGCGTATGTATCTACATAGAGATGTATATAGATGGAGCATTACTCCGTTCCTTATCGGGCATACGTCCTACCTAATTGATTACCTAATTCTAGCCAAACGTTTTTATTGATATAAATGGTCTCCGATCTATGTTACTAAGGGGACATTATGTTATGGAATTTTATCAATTAACTACAATAGATATTGTGTATATTATATATATAATTTGTTATATATTTTACATATAAATAAATAATTTATGTTACATTAACAAAACATGTATGTCGTTTAAATAGGTATACAGTCTTATTTATGTAAAATAGTTACATTTAAAATAAGAATTAATTAATACCCAATAAGACGCTAAGCACTTATAGACTATCTTAATAATAGTAAATATTTTATAAATAAATTTTATATCCTTAAATAAAAATTGTTTTCTGAACGTATTTTATATTTTATGTAGTCGCTAGATAGTGATTTACTTTTAATTTATTTTCCATAATATTCAATTGGTTTGAAACTGAAAGTTTTGGACATCAAAAAATACTAATATTATAAAGAGAAAAATTTATTGATTGATTGTTTGTAATGGAAAAACGCAAAACTACTGAATCCATTTTAAAAATTCTTTGACCTTTAGAAAGCTTCATTATCAGGGAATAACATACATTATATTTTTATTTAAAAGTTCTGTCTACCTATGCGAGTCCAGGCCAGATCGCTAGTTGTAATCAAATAAATCTTCTAAAAATCAGGTATATGAATTATTCTTTTATTTATATTAACCATTTAATATATCAGTATTGCATAAATAAATAAAAAAAGTTATAATTAATTGTAGTTTCTAAGACAAAAGTTATAGTTCCAATTTTCTTAAATAAATACTTCATACTTCCTAAATGAAATTAAGTTCCGCTTTCATGTTTGCTAATATGTCACCTTTATCTCCTTATAACTGCTGAATGGGATTAAAGGACAGGTAATTGGGAGAATTGCCTTGAAATTTGAAAGTACGACTTAATCCGTGATACCTACATATAGATAATAAAACTTAAACAACAATTAAGGTCGTATTGGTTTTGTTTCAATATATTTTATCTGTGACAAGTGTCACTATCTTGGCTCTGGTCATTATGGAATCTTCAATCTAACATTGTTATTTACTTATTTCTTTTCGAGAATATTAACAAATTGTAATTTGTTTTATTTAATTGGAGATTCATATAGAATAAAACCATAGGTAACTTTGCAACATTTTTATAAAATTTTATATGCAGTCTCTACGTACATATGTATTAAAATTTTATTATTTATGCATGAATCAGTGTTTCATAATTATAAGTGCACAATGTTAAAGCGAAATCTTTATATGGGCAAGTAATTTGCAAATCGAGAATTATTATCTACACTGAAACCATCATTAATCTTTTAGGCAAGTATGTCAATAATAGCTTAATTTTAAAATATTAATAGATATGTTAATGCCTTGAAATAAAAAAAAAAGAAAATATAAAGGGGTTTATTAGTCTATGGTAGATGAATAAAATAATAGAGAAAACCTTGAAAAAAAAAATTAACTATATTTTTTATGCATCCGAATGGTATTGGCGGCAATTTGCACGCGTTTGGCGGAACGATAAATTGATCGTTGCTTAACTGCAAATAATCGATTAGGCAGTTGATTTTCCTGTAGGTTTTTTTTTTAGAAAAAGGAGAACGTTTATCAGCCTTCTAATTTTATTGTCTGAACCTTAGATGATATAGATAGTTTCTCTAGAAAAGTTTCCCTAAAAACGGATCAACTTTTTTTTCCGTGCTGCAAGAATAGGGTTACCATAATAGGTTAAATTAAAAAAAAAAGCTATACAAAATTGTTCCATATATTCGTTAACTCCATAAAATAATTTAAATACATACAATGCAAAAAGTTGCTCCAAATTGCTCTTAAATTGAATAATAATGTACAATTATTTTTAATTGTAGGAATTATATTTAATCGATTGTCTCACATCGATTAAGGTCAATAACACGAGTGACGTGTAACTGTTAATATATCGATGCTGAAAAAGCAAAATGTATTAAACGCCATTTAACGTTTTGGCATTTGGCATTTTGCCTTACGATAATATATCGCTGTATTTTTGACATGTTTTATGTTTAAAATAGAAAACAATAAAAAAAAATGGAATATAAATCGAAGCAATTTCTGTGGTTGGTCATTTTGTGACTTGGCTAAATTCAGTCAGAAATTGCTCAGATTAAATATAATATTCAATGAGAAAAAAAAGTGTGAATTCATTGATAATATATAATTCAATATTTGTTAAAGTGGCGCTTAATACGTTTTTGCCGTTCCAGCGTCCATATTGCAAACGAGGCAATACGCCGGCGCCATGTGCGCTCGTGTAGACTCGAACTGCAATGCACCTCGGTGCAACATGATCTTTTTAATATCTCGTTAACCATGACCTTTGCTGTCTATAGCTCAATCGCATTTTCGAATTATGTATCTACCTAACTACAATTTGTAATTGCATAATTTTTGTTGGTTTAGGCGTTTCAATGCGTTTGCCCAAGCAGCGAACGAAAAAAAAAACTATTTGAAAGAAAAAATGTTTTTTTTCCTTTGATGACTAATGAGGTTGTATAATCATTTCATTAAAAAGTAATTAGGGAATACTGATGTGTTTCTAAATTTAAATATTTTACAAATATACTTTTAGGACCTACCTATGCAAACGAGGGACAGTGCTCGGGATACTTTTTGTTTTTTCGTCTACGTATGCTATTGAAGCTAAATAAAGGTAATTTTTTATGACACAATATAATGGCATAAAGGCTGATGGAAAGTGGTAACCTTCACCTATAGACATGAACAGCATCGTGGATATCGTTGGATACACTATGGCCCCTCGTGCATTGCCATTCCTGAGAACTAAGGTGTTATACCTCCGTACCCTATAATTTCATTGCCATGTCCCAACATTCAAACTGAAACACACCAATGCAAACACAACTGTTTCACGGTAGAAACACGAATGGGACAGAGGTACCCAAGTAAACGACTTTGGTATAAAACCCCCCCCTCTGGTGAAATGTGAAATGTAGTCAGGAAATAAAGGACATTAAGTATATACTGACCTGTATCCAGGAGAAATGTTGGAAGTTGGTCAAGTACTGCGTCCTGGTGTATGCGAACAGGCCCATCAGGCTCATGCTCGCGTTGAATGTATAGTACAGAGGGAAGAGTACCGTCTGCACGCGCCCGAAGTCGTGCCGAGGGAGTGAGAAGTATAACACTATGCCTGTAAGAAAGAAAGAGATGGGTTAGTGTTTTGTTTGTACCTAAGAACAAGGAATTACATAAGAGGAATGATAAAATAAAAACTGCAAATCATATGGTTGCCTCCTTTCTTTTTATGCAAATATAATTAGTAAAAAGAGGACGAAAGATACACCCTCAGTTGCTATTTTTCTCAATTCGTAGCAGGCTAGTGTATAGAAAATGTTTGATATGTCAAGTATTTGACAATAACAAATTTTACATTACTAGATAATATATACTCGACACAATTTATGTAGAAAGTATGCAAGTAGGTTGCATCTGAATTTGGTAGGGTTATACGGCCGTGTAACATTTTCTATACACTAGCCTGCTATGAATTGACAATTTTATCACTCCTTCTAAGTAAATTCTTATTCTTAGGTTTGTGCGTAATAATTTAGTCTATGGTTTGATTATTATAGTTCCAAGTATTTAGTCTATGTATGGATATTTAGACTTATCTAAAAGAAATATGTTTTGTAATATATAATAATACATTTTTATTTTTTTTATTTAAAATAATTTTTGCAGTCTATTAAATTATTATGATCAAGGATATGTAATCCTATTAAGGATGACTGTAAGACTAGACCAGATTGGACTATGTTATTGCCCTGTGGTTCCGGGATAAAATGGGTTACCCATTTTCTTTCCCGTAGGTGTCGTAAGAGGCGATAAAGGGAATTTAATGATTAAGGGATGGACAACAGCATCTCTCTTATTACCAAACCCTAACTGCAGTTCAAATCTGTTTGCCAAGAGTGGCAACTACTGGTAAGGCCCCTTTATGGGAGAGACCTATGTTCAGCAGTGGACAGTAGACGGCTGAGATGATGATGATGATGATATTATATTTTTATTTTATTATATAATGTTAGCAATGATTCTTTTATAAATAAAGATGTTTCCCAGCATAGGGATTTAATTATTCAATTCAATTTAATTTATTCTATAACATTGTGTCGAATATTATAGGATTTTTATATTTAATTAGATGTTTATGTAAATTAATTTTTATTCTTTATTGTGCACAAAAAGTTATTGTAATGGAAAAACAAACATAATAGTGCCCAAAGGCGAGCTTTCTTCTTCCAGCAAACCTAATATGAGAAAACTGACATTTTCTTAGTACAAGAGTTACAGTCATACATGTGTACCAATCGACTTAAATGTTATAGTTAAAAATAAATAAATAAATATAGATATCAGATTATAAAATAGGATTCATCCATATATGGGTTGTTATTTAATTGAATTCCTTACTGAATGTATAGGAAGTAATGTATGTTGGTGGCTTATGATAAATACTAGGAAGTCGACTCGTTAATATGGTACGTAAAATAATACATTGAACTGATTAGATAAAACATTACATCTGGGTTTACAGAGAGCGCTGTTTTAGAAACGCAAGGTTTTATTATATGTATATGATATGATAGGATGCTTGGTCCTCTCTGTTTACTCCGTAAGGAGTTTAATGTAAATAGATAAATAGATATGTAGTTCATTTTCTCGTTCATTTATTCATTAAAATATTCGAAATTAGTCAAATTATTGTAAACAGTTGTTCCTCTACAGCGTTTTATGTTCAGTATTTATTTACACATCGTTTTGTTATGTGAATCTTTTCACGAAGCTTTAATAGTTTGACGTTTGACGATTTGACATACGGACAGACAAGCAGACGTCCAAATAAAGATAGACAGTGACAGAATTATAATATAATCATAAATTGCTCCTAGCAGTATATATATTATTAGAGTGTAACTATATAAAAAGTAAATTACAATAAAATAATTCTGGCTGTGTTTCAGTTTGAAGAGTGGGATATGACAGTGAATTCACAGGGTACAGAGGAATCACACCTGAGTTCTCAGGAAAAACGCATGGGGGGTATTATAATGGGCGAAACAGTATACTCTGTTATGTCCATAGTACTGCTCATGTCTATAGGCGACGGTTACCACTTTCCATCAGGTGGGCCGTCAGTTTGTTTGCCATACTAAGTTGCATAAAAAAGTCAATCGTGATAGTGTAAGATGACTTTCCGCTAGATGGCGCGTTGAGTTCAAATGTAGAAATGATTAAATGTATATATTTAATCATTATTACAACAGTAATTGAAGAAATTTAATTAAAAATTAAATGCCTATCCATTGCCTGCTTATTTTGTAAGCTTAGTCCTAGATAAGTTTCTAATTTTATTACTGGTCTTCTGCACGTTCAAACACATTTATATCCTATTTCCTATGCAAGGAATATCGATATTTAATAACTTGTATTTACGCGCTGTCAATTCAGTTTCCAATATATTGCATACTGGTAGTGGGATGCATGTAAATTGGCATTAATTTTAAAATTATCATTAAACAAATGGTTTACATAAATTGACTTCATTATTAGAAGCAGATAAGTAAACGATGGTTTGAAATTCTCTTTAGAAGTATTCGAGTATTCATGATTAACCTAGCTATCTAGGTACGACGCTGTATTTCATCATTAAGTCATTATTTCTTTTGAGAATCGTTCTATTATACGTCGACTAGCTGTTAATATGTTTTACAGTTAATATCATTGCCGTCAATTGCATTAATATTTATCATTCTAGATAGATCGAGGTCGTGTAATGATTTGCAGTATATAATACTAATGGTAAACGTTACGTTTACCATTCAATTCAAATCAATGGAAATGTTATGTTTATGTTAAATTCATACCTTTTTTGTACCACTACTACAATTGTATCAATTAATCTTCATGTTGTATTCCTTACAGAGTAGACAAGAGAAAAATAGGGTAAAAAACTCATTTTACAATTAGTATGTTTAAATTAAGATTTCAACAAGAAACGACTATTAAATATAAATATATATAAATATACATCATCTTTACTGGTTCATCATTTCATCATCATTTCAGCCATTACCTGTCCACTGCTGAACATAGGTCTCTCCCATAAACCGCCATAAGGAACGGTCCTGAGCCACCTGCATCCATTGACTCCTTGCAAATGTAATGTGAATTGGACTCTAGTTTCCACGTTAAGCCTCTCATTTGGACCATTGTGCCTGCCAAGCCACTTGCCAAGCGTGGCAACTACTGGCAAAATCTCTTAATAGGAGGAAACCTATATTTAGCAGTGCAGAATTAATGGCTGATATCATCATACGAAAATATAATAATAAATGTAAAAATTGCCTTTAGAATACATATATTCTTTATTGCACTTGTAAGTTACATATAAAATAATATATTTATAAATGTTGTGAGCAAGGGTGGACTTATCTCTGACAGAGATCTCTTCCAGTCAACCCAGTACAGTAAGAAAGCATTTCGTTAGCGGGCAGCTGAAGTGCTACAACTATTAATACATAAACAAATATACAGTTAGATAAAATATTAAAATATATAATAAAATATTACATAAATACATACACTATAAATACATATGATACCTACTTATATAATAAATGTTAAAATAAATGAATATACTACTTACGTTAGAAATTTCGTTTAATGATTTTAAGATTTGACAGTTCAATTAGAAAAATACAAAAAAAAAAATATTATAAATACAAAAAGAATATATGTTTTATATAATATCAAACAAAAAAAAAAAAGACGAGCGGCATTCAATAAAACAAAGTATGAACACGGTGCCGTGAGGTCATCGTAGTTTCGCACGGCGAACGTCACGGGAAGGTCATATCAATGTACGTAATCGAACTGAACCGAATCACATTAGTAGTACCGGTGTCATAACAATTTTATTAGTCACGTTACATTCAATGTGCGAATTACACGAGGCTGTGTTCCTATCTCGGGTACTTTTAAATGGATGATAATGGGGTAGTAACTCCGCATGCGCCATCAGTATACAAAAGCGAAGGACTAGTGAGGGATGTTAAGTGGGGATGAAAGTAAGGCTTTCGGGATAACTATGAGTAGGGACTACGTGGAGGTTGTCCTAACAGGGTATATTTGGGGGAAAGGGATTGTTAGTAATGGAGACTGAGAATTCCATTGCTAGCAATATACCTAACCAAGTCGACTTTCTCGAGGTTCCCCCTAGGAACTATCATGGTTAATTCCTGATGAATTCATCATGATGGGCTAACTGGCCTGTTTTCATTCTTATGTATCACCCTTCACTGGTGCTCCGCCAGCGTATCCCGTTAGCGCAGGCGGGGCTACCATACCATTTTCACCCATCAAAAAAGAAAAAACAGGGTATATTACTAGCAATGGGGTCACTAGTTTTCCGGCTCACAATCCTTTATCCCCTAATTGGGATCTTTTCGATATATTTCTAAAAGAAATATCGATTGACTAAAACACGTGGTATACAAATTTCAAGCTATAGTTTAACTGGTAAAACTTTCCTTTTAAGAGATAAATATACCATTTATTGATTAGCTACGTACTAAATGTCAGCCTTTAACTGTCCACTGCTGTACGTAAGCCTGCCTCTTAGGGGGTATTGCCAGTAGTTGCCACGCTTGGCAGGCTGATTGGCAGCCGCAGTTAGGCTTTGGAGATGTTTTAAAACGAGATGTTGCTGCCTCTCCCTCGCCCTTCCTTAGTTGTAACATCTATACACTTACTATGTTTCTTGTAAATAAATAAATAAATTGGTACTTTGTCAACGCGGATTCATCATGATCATGATTGATTGTTGTATCAGTGTGTGTGTGTTGTTATTAGTTTATTTATTCATATTTATATTACGCACGTGTATTTTAATTATCTGTTTTTATACGTAATCTAATCTGTTATTTGTTTTATGTTGTATCCTTTATTTGGCCAACAGCACTTTACACCCGGAACAAATGATTTTTTTTTACAACACAGGGGGCAAACGAGCGTGCGGCTCACCTGATGGTAAGTGACTACCGCCGCCCATGGTCACCCACAACACCTACGGCATTGCAGGTGTGCTGCCGGCCTTTTAATAAGGAATATGCTCTTTTCTTGAAGGTTATGTGATATGCCGATAGGGTTATTTTTTAAGCACGCTGTGTAATCCATCAATGTAAAATTAATATCAATATATTTCCAACAGATAGTAATACATTTATGGCTGTTTAAGGGGGGGGGGGAGGGATTGTTAGTAATGCAGACTACCAGTCATATTGGTAGCAATATATCCTGTTAGGTCGATCTCCACGTGGTCACCTCTGGTAACCATCGTGTTGAATTCCATGTGTATTAATCACGACGGGCTAACTGACCTGCTTTTTTATTCTCACCTATCATCCCTCACTGGTGCCTACCCAGCACATACCGTTAGCGTGGGCGGGGTTGCCATTCAATTAAATAGCTACATTTTATGTTAAAATATTGAATTTAAATGATTTAGCGGAAATCGATATATTTGTGTTTTTAAAATTAGAATATAAAAAGAATGATTAAAAAAGTCCATAACGAGTACCAGTACCAGTTCCCAGAAATACACATGCCCCAGGCGACTGCTTGGCATGAACGGACGGACGCACAATTAAAATCATATTACGTAATGTGCACGTCCAGTTTTTGTATGAATGTATTCGCCACTTAGTATTTTGGGAATGCTTTCCCAGTATATTTGTGAAGACTGTTGAAATGAATATTCTTCGTATTGCTTAAGTGCTTACTAAGTATAATCAGAGTACTTACTTTTTAATTGAAATTGAGTTACATTATATTAATTTGTTAAATATATATCTATTTTTTTAAAGTGCCACCTACGTATTTATTCTTTAATTCTATCTACCCAAAGGTTGTCTGGAAGAGATTGCTTAGCAATAAAGCCGCCTTTTGTACTACACTACACTTATTGAAAATTGTTCAACAAATCTTGTAATGTTGATGCAGTGAAGTGTTAAATAAATAAATAAATATATACACATAATTCGTAAATACCTAGCTATTCAAGTGCACAATTTTCAAATTCAAGATCCGACTGCATAGATTTCATACAAGCTAGATGTTTGTCAGTAGAATTGACAGTTGGTCATAAAGTAATACAACTCACCAGAGACTAGAGTCATCCAGATCTGTGCACCGAGATGTGTAGCTACCGATCCCACGTAGACAGCCCTCCAGAGCCGTATACTGGCGTTAGGGCTTGGTTTACTCAGCCAGGTCAGCAGCATGAACATTGCCAACGCTACGTGGAATGGTTGTGTTGTTTTTGTGACGACACTGTGGAAGAAAACATAATAATTAATTATATTGTTTCGTAATCAGTTCATTTTCTATAAAATATCTATAGAAAATGAAATACATATGTTCAGAAAGTGAACACGAGCCATAGAAATAAGAGTATGGAGTGATGCGGTCAATTTTAACACATAATAAGAAATATTTACTAATAACACAAAAAAAAATTAAAAAAAAAAAACTAAAAACTGTGGAAATTAATAATGAAATTGCATTTGTAATTGCATGTAGCGATAAAAACATTCTCTTAATATGTCCATCATAAGTAAGTACCAACATCAAGAAAAGAGGCAGTTATGTTGGATTCATAGTATTTTCATCATTTGTTGTATCATAATAACTAGACCTCGCAGAGGCGGCAGTCTCGTGATTAGGAAAAAAATGACATTTTAACGTAACATCGTGTCGGCCGTGACGGCAGTCATAAAAAAACATATCACTGTATCTCTACATGAATGTGTCATGACTTGATCGTTTAATTTTATGACAGAGATATATCTATAGTAATGTTGGTATTACAATTTATTGTTTGAATCATACATTTTGTTACGTTATATTTATTAATTGTCTCGTATAATGCAAATAAAGTATACTGTATTGCTAATAAATGTATACGCATTCAGTCAATAACTTATTTTTGATTTTTGTTTAATCAATCAATTAACAAAATATTCATGAAACATAGTTGGAAATAGATTGTTTAAATACATTTAGCAAGCTCCATATGACCACTCCAAAAGTTGTATAAATAATTAATGAAAGTAAAATAATGCCATTTTGAAATATAGACGTTGATAAAATAAAACCAGCGGGCCTATCATGAAATGAAATTCCGAAATATTGGACTCAATTTCGTGTTTTTGTTTATACCAAAATCGGACCAATAAATGGAGTTTAACATTTCGTTCGTTATACATCCTATCATAAAAGTCCCAAGGAACGATATTTTAACATTTTTAATTTTTCCAAACGACACGTATTATGTAATTTTAACATCAAATTTGTGTTTCGTTTGGCTCCGAAATTTCGAAAAACATTTCATGGTAGACTCTCTGGTTGTCTATAAGAGATTGCTTTTAGCGATAAGGCTGCTTTTTCAATAAAATTTTATTATAACTATAATTAAAATAAAAATATTTTGATCAGCAATATAAATAATATTATATTTAAAGCGACTCAGATTTTTAATTTTTTTTTGTTGTCGAGTGATGAGAAAAAGTATTATTTGGGGCTACTGGATAATTTTAAATTTTGATTCGGTCATACATAATGACCAATTTGACATTTTTTATCACTTTCATACAAAAAAAAAAATAATTAGTAAGTAGTAATCTAGTATTTACAGGTTGAGATTAGTTATCGATCTAAAGTCACAAATCTGTAACTTAATTAAAACTTAGATAGATAAACAAGTCATCGCAAAATGACTTGTTTATATTAAGCTATAAATGTACATTGATACAAGCGGACTTTATTTCGACCTTTGATTAAAATATAATTTGAACATGTCCTTAATCTTCGTATGATAATGTATCGCCTAAAATTGGTTATTGTTACATGATAAGTGATTATCAAGTTAGTAAAATTAATTAAAGTAACTGGTTAAGTTAGTTTAAAATGTTTATCTGATTATTGCACATAAATTTAATAACAAACTTCTAATTCTTGTCTATGATATTTTTTTTATTGTTAGGGAGACAAACGGGCATACGGCCTGATGGAAAGCGGTTACCATCACTCATGAAAACTTGCAACACGAGAGAAGTTGCTTTTGCGTTGCCTACCTTTTAAATGTTTCTAAGCACGTTTTTTGAAATTCCCCATTTTTTTTTTAATGGATGATAATGGAATGATGACCCCGCCTGTGCTATCGGTATACACTAGCGGGGCACCAGTGAGGGATGATTGGTGAAGATGAGCAGGCAGGTCAGTTAGCCCATCGTGACGAATACAACGATAAATTAATTACGACGGTTTCCAGGAGGGAACCGCGTGGAGGTCGACCTGGTATATTGATAGCAATGGGGACTAACCTCCCCATTACCAACTATCCCTTCCCCCCATTCCCCATATTGTAAAGGAAAAACTGAAGACGGGAGCTCATTCCACAATTTAGATGTACGAGGTAGAAATGAATAGTATGCATGGATAGGGGGGAAAGGGATTTTTAGTAATGGAGACTAAGAATTCCATTGCTAGCAATATACCCAACCAGGTCTCCCTCCTCGCGGTTCCTCCTGGAAACTATCATGGTTAATTTCTGATGAATTCATCATGATAAGCTAACTGGCCTGTTTTCATTCTCATCGATCACCCTTCACTGGTGCTCCGCCAGCGTATCCCGTTAGCGCAGGCGGGGTTACCATACCATTTTCACCCATAAAAAAAAGTATGCATGGATAGTAGTGTTATGGCATGTACCCAAGGAATCTTACGTTATTAAACTAGAAAGTGTACGAGACGTCTGTCACGAAAGCACACATTAATTGATAGATTGTAGGCTTCTTCAAACGATTAGATATTCAACAAGTTCGCACGTCCACACGTGTTATTTTTATACACATACCTTATGAGATGTGACGATTACAGATAATCTATCGGGGCGAGTCATTAACCGCTAATACAGTCATCAGGCAGCGGAGGCGCCGCGGTCCAAAGGTAGGTTTTAATAAAAAAAAAAAAACATATCGTAATTATTGCAAATCGAACGAGTACTATCTCACGATAAGAAGTTACAGACGTGCGCCACTCCACGTTCCGTTCGTTAAGCGTTTCTGGAAGCTTTTTTCGTGGTTCCATTGGGTATTTATTTGTAGATTTTTTTTAATGGATGATAATGGAATGGTAGCCCCACCCGCGCTATCGGTATACACCGGCGGGGCACCAGTGAAGGATGATAGGTGAGGATGAAGCAGGTCAGTTAGACCATCGTGACGAATTCAACAAGAATTGTTCACGATGGTTTTCAGGTGGAACCACGTGGAGGTCGACCTAATAAGGCATATTGCTAGCAATGGGCCTGTCAAACTCCATTGCTAACAATCCCTTTCCCCCCTTATTTGTAGATTAGGTGGCGTAGATTTTTTGATATAAATCAAATCAAACAATAATATTTGTACAATTACATGAAGACGTAAGAAAATAATAATAATAATAAAAAAAACATTTATTTATGTCGTAATACATAGGACATACAGATAACAATGGATCGTAAAACGAGATAACTCCTCTATGATCAAACTCATACTAAAAAAAACAACGAATCTCAGACTAATTTTTGACCGTTGCTTTACATGTATAATCGTAACAGTAAACATGTTCAAATTAATCCAAATTATATGGGATTGACAAGCCAGACGAACAAGATTGGAGCGTAAGCTATCGAAATTAGCGTCAATAACTGGTTATTTGTTTAGAATTATTTTGTTTAAATCCTCTACCATTAGTATGGCTATAGTAGTTCGTCTGGCTTGTCAATCCCATATAATTTGGATTAATTTGAACATGTTTACTGTTACGATTATACATGTAAAGCAACGGTCAAAAATTTGTCTGAGATTCGTTGTTTTTTTTAGTATGAGTTTGATCATAGAGGAGTTATCTCGTTTTACGATCCATTGTTATCTGTATGTCCTATGTATTACGAAATAAATAAATGTTTTTTTTATTATTATTATTATTTTCTTACGTTTTCATGTAATTGTACAAATATTATTGTTTGATTTGATTTATGTAAAAAAATCTACGCCACCTAATCTACAAATAAGGGGGGAAAGGGATTGTTAGCAATAGAGTTTGACAGCCCCATTGCTAGCAATATGCCCTATTAGGTCGACCTCCATGTGGTTCCCCCTGGAAACCATCGTGAACAATTCTTGTTGAATTCGTCACGATGGGCTAACTGGCCTGCTTCATCCTCATCTATCAATCTCCACTGGTACCCCGCCAGTGTATACCGATAGCGCGGGTGGGGATACCATTCCATTATCACCCACTAAAAAAAAAAACTTTTGAAATAATAATAAATAATATTTTAAGGTCTTGTTATATAATACTTATTTAAAATGAAATACTTTTTTTTATTTTTGAAAATAGGAATTTTTTCATTAATATCTTCGCTAATAGGGAATAGTATTTCAATATTTATATTTTACTCCTATTTATTTTCGGTGCATGTGTCAACCCTATAGCTACATCATGCATCACCAATTTCATCTCTAGAACATTCGATCATGTCCTGAATTGAGTTTAACAACCCCTTTACGAATTGTACAGTGCATAGACAATACGAAGATGCGTCGCGTTCATCCAATCGCTAATAGTCGAATGGAATATTATTATGTTAATCAATTCATGACTGTAACCCGTCGGGAGTAAAGTTCAGTTTAATATTGTAGAATTGTGTCATTCATACAATGTTGGTTATGTAAACCAAGGTTGATAGGCTACAGTGTTAGCGTGTCGTGACTATATTTATTTAGGATTTTTATTAGGGATGTCATCGTCATCTCAGCCGTTATCTGTCCACTACTGGACATAAGCCTCCCCCATAGACTGCCATAAAGAACGGTCCTGAGTCCACTTGCATTAATGCAATAGATATTATTTATCACTATTAAATAATTAAAGAAGAAAAAATTGTTTAAAAAAATTTAGTTTTTTATAAATAATGAATAATTATCTTGTAATGAATTTACTGGGTACAGAGGAATAACACCTGAGTCCTCAGGAATGGCAACGCATGGGGGGTATCATGGGCGAAACAGTATACTCTGTTATGTCCGTGGTACTGCTCAAGTCTATAGGCGACGGTTACCACTTTCAATCAGATGGGCCGACAGCTTGTTTGCGGTTTTAAGTTGCATAAAAAAAATTGTGTATCGAACAGTTTGTTTGATAGAGATATTTTATAATAAATTTTACGTTATTATGCACATATAAGACACAAAATAAATCTGTGGAAAGATAATTTTGTCGCAATA